GTGTAATGTAGGCACTGTCCCCTTCTTGTTTGATACAGGGTCTTTAACTGACCCTGAGCTCTCTGATTAGTCTAGGTTATCCAGCAAGCTCTAGTCATCGTCTTGTCTCTACCTCCCTAGTGCTGGCATTATATAGACACCATTGTACTTAGCTTTTTAATGGGGGTTTTGGGGTTTGAACTCAAGTCCTCAGGCTTTTGAGGCAAGCGCTTTATTGCCAGAGCCATCTCCCCAGTGCCCTTATACCTCTCTTCCAACACAAGGGAGATGAAAGTGACTTACCTTCACCTGGTGGTAGAGCCTATATCAGTTTTGCTCCTCCCAGCAGGAAGGCCATGTGTCTGTTTTCCCTGCAACCTCTGAGGACCCACTGCCTGCAGCCCCACATCTGGAGCTGTGTGAGCATTTGGCTAATATGTCTTCTGCATCCTCGTGAGGAGTGTGGTCTCCTCCTCTCACTAATCACTTCCTTCCCTGCACTAAATAAAGAGTGTCCAGGCTGCATTTAGCAGCATCCACTTCCAAAATAAACAGAAGCGCAGAAATTAGCTGGGATAATAGTGCAATTAAACAGCTGCAAGGCGGCGGCTGCACAGGGTCCGTGGCATGGGAGGAAGCCCACCTGCCCCTCTTGGAGTTTGGAGATGGCTATGGTGGCAGTCAGGGATGCACTAGCTTTGCCCTTTGACATTCTTGGATGCTGTCCGGGCTCTGCTGTGTTCTAGCTGTGTGGCATTAGGCAACAAATTTGGCCTCCCTGAGATTGTTGAAAAGTAGCAACCACAGCGGCACCGAACTCAGCATCAATTTGGTATAATGCTGGAATGTGGCTGGTCCAGCCTGTGTCTCTCTTCCCATCATTATCTCATCAAGGCTGCTGTGGTCACTTAAGGGCTTGTGGCAGAGCCCCTGGTCACCTGGTTAGTCAGTGTTTGGGGATGCTGTGTGTTGGAAGTGAAATGTCCCTCCCAGGATCATATGCTTGAACCATTGATCCCCAGATGGTGTTTTGGGACATTGTGGAGCTGTTTATAAGTTCTACTGCTTGGTGGTGGTGTGCCACTGTGGGCCTTGGAAGGCTGAAGTGTCACCTTGCTTCTGCTCTGTCTCACTACAGATAGTCACCTGCTACCTTGCATTCCCCTCTATGATGGTCTGATGTCTTTGAAACCAGGGTCTAGGCTAACCTTCTCATCCTTAGGCATCCTATTAGGAACTGGTAATGGATATAAGGGGTCCCAACGCTCTCAGAGAATTTTGATGGGTGTGTCCAGGGGCTCTGCTGGTGAGGGATGGGGATCTGCCATACCTTGTGTCGTAAGAATGCATTATGTTTTGTGCCGTTGGTCAGTAAAATCCTACTGAAGCACAGGGGATGTGAAGGCTGGGTGCAATAGTTATGGTTAGATATCTCCAGGCCCAAACTGGGAGCCACGGCCAGGCAGAACCAACCAAACATGTAAAGACTGACAGACAGGAGAACTCCATGAAAACACACCTACCCCCACCCCTGGGAAGTCAGACCTGAAGGACTCAACACTAGAGTAGGCAGCAAGGGTGGCACACTGCTTGTGGGTCTCCTGTCCAAGGATTCAGCCAATATGGATGGAGATGTCTGAAAAGCGTGCACCTGAACCAGAGTGCAGCTCTTTCCCCTTGTTCCCTTAACACACTGACTGTTTACACAGCATCAGGTGTTCCATGTCATCTAGAGATGGTGGGAAGGACATGGAGGAAGTGTGTGTCAATGTTGTGCCTTGGTGTACGAGGGGTCTGAGAAGCTAGGGTTTGGTGTCCCCGAGGTTCTGGGAAAATCCACCAGGTGCCTCTCAGGGCTGCCTGGTGGTCCTCTGTCTGCCTTGTCTTTAGTCAGATGGAATGACCCAGCCCAGCCCCAGTGTGAACATATTATAGTAACTGTCTTATGGGATTTTGTTCATATCTTGGGGAGTTCTGTTTTCCCAGCATCTTGAGTTCCTGTGAGCATTTCCATAGCAACAGTGAAACCGTCACTTTTGTCTGTGGAGGTGCAGGATAATTACAGCTCTGGAGTTCCCTGGGAATGACTTATGGAGACAGTAAAGGGGATGCAGAGGTCATGGTGCCTGAACACTGCACGCAGGGAAGACTTTACTTTTCCAGGCTGACAAACAACCTGCTGAAATCATGTGTCCATTGAAAACAGAGGCTCAGCCCAGGCTGTAGGCTTGGCTCAATGGGAGAGTGTGTGCCTAGAATCTACCGGGGAGGGGCTAGGGGTGTGGCTTAGTGGTAGACAACTTGCTTAGAAACCTCCCAGAACAGGGCAAGAGGCTTAACACAGTAGTAAAACACCTGCCTAGAATCCCCCAGTGAGTGGCTGGGGTATGGCTCAGTACTAGAGAATTTGTCTAATATACAAGTTAGATTTTGTCAACTTGACATGAACTAGAGTTCAAAGTATCAATCAAGGAGCTGCTTCCATCAGATCAGCATGTGGACAGGTCTGTGGGACATTTTCTTGATTGATTCCTGATGTGGGAGGGCCCAGTCAGTATGGACAGTGCCACTCCTTGGAAAGGTGATCCTGGGTTATGTGAAAAAAGCGGGCTGAGCAAGCCATGGAGAGCAAGCCAGAAAGCAGCATTCCTCATGGCTTCTGCTTCAGTTCCTGCCTTGAGTTCTGATGGTCTGTAACCTGTAAATCTAATAAACCCTTCCCTTCCCAAGTTGGTTTTAGTATGCTTTATGATAGCAACAGAGAAGAAAACTACAACACCTAGAATCCCCAGTGAGGGGCTGGGGGTGGCTCACTGGTAGAGCACCTGCCTAGAATCCCCCAGTGAGGGGCTGGGGTGTGGCTCACTGGTAGAGCACCTGCCTAGAATCCCCAGTGAGGGGCTGAGGTGTGGTTCAGTGGTAGAGCATAGGTCTACAGTGCAGTAGGGTATGATTTCATCACTACTGTGGCAAACAGACTCTACAATGTTTCTGAGGAGAATGGATCTTTTAGTGCCATGAGGTGAGGATGCTCAGGGAACAGTGTCATTTGCCTTCCCCCAGAGACTTGTCTCTCATTTCATGATGTAACTTTAAAACTCTAACTCTAACATGTAGTTTGGTTGGTAGGGTATATACTATCATGCATGGGTTCTGGATTCAACTCTAAGTAATGTACAAATCAAGTGTGATGGTTCACACCTGCATCTTAGCACTGGGGAGGTAGAAGGAGGACCATCAGAAATCTAAAGCCTCAGCTATATAGTTAGTTCCAGGCCAGCCAAACTGTCATGAGCACTCTGGAAAGTTGAGGCAGGAGGATCACAATTTCATGGCCAGCCTGGCTACCTATCAATCCTGTCAATCAATCAATCAATCAATCAATCAATCAATCATCAATCTAAAACCAACTAAATACAGTAAAACAAAACAACAACAAAAGCCCGAGACTCAATAAAGTTGTCAGATCAAAAATAAATTGTAACAAATCATCAACTGGTTCAAAGGGAAGAGTCAGGCAGCCATGCTGAGTCTCTGTCCCAGGTGCTAGGGTTCCCCTTCATCACACGCATAAGTTAGAAGATGCCTGGCAGGAGGGTAACAGGTCTGTAGGGTCCACTACAGTTGGAAAGCCACCACATGCCTGTGTTTGAGGGAGCAGTTGGACTTGCTTCTGTCTCCGCTACCCACATGTTGTGTGTTGAAACCTTCCTGCTTGGGAAGGAACCCAGACTTATAGGTAAAGAATTTAGACTTTAAGGGATTAGCTCAGTGGAGAGAGTGCCTTCAGTGCAAGTGTGAGTTCAGATCCTGAGCACCCAGAAAAAAGTCAGGCATGACCTATATCCCCAGCCCTGAAGATACAGAAGGTTCCTGAGGACTTCCTGGCCATACAGCCCAGCCAATCAGTGAGTTCCAAGTTGATGAGAGAGCTTGTCTCAAAAAATAAGGTGGAGAGTTATACAGGGAAGCACCCAATGTCATCCTCTGCTCTTGAGGATACATGTGAGGGTGTGTGCATCTGCATATGCATACATATACTACATACATACACACGCATGCATACACAAATGCACACACGTACGAGATTCAAACTTTGGAAAAAGTGGCCATATACATACATATATGCATACATAGTACAAACTAAATGTGAATGTTTTGTTTCCGGCAACCTCCATGCTGGGAGGCATCTCAAGTATGAGGTTCCTTCTCACACATGTGCTGCTGTGGCCAAGCTGGTGGTTGGACAAAGTGACAGTGTTTGGGTTCTGCAGCCTCTGACACTTGTTGAACCTCATGACTGGGATTCTGGGCTGGGCTGGTGATGATCAGAGGTCAAAGGTGAGCATCAGTCCCTGAGTTCTGAGGGCTTGAACTCGTCTTTCTAATGAAGATGGCTGGGTGGTCCCCAGGCAAATGAGAAACTATCTCGTGCACTGGGACCATCTCTGGGGGACATTCCAGAGGTTGGAGCTATCGGTGAGTGTCAGTTGGGACTCTGAGGTTTGTGGTAGGTGTGAACTCTGGTGTTGATCCTGGATAGATGTGCACGTTACCTGTTGTGTGAGACCATGCCTCAGTTTCTCCATGGTCAAGAAAGGAGAGTTACAGCACTCTCCTCCAGTGTTAGTGGAGGGTCATGTGATTTTGAGACAGGTAAGAAGCTGGAAGCAGTGTTGGCTGGGCAGGAGCAGATAGGAGCCTTGTCTGGTGTTTGCAAAATACCTGAGCTAAAGCAGAGGAAGAGGAGCGAACGCCTTCCCACGCCACACTGGGAGAAGAGGAGGTTCCCTCTGCCTGAGCAGCAGCTCTGCCAGATCTCCTGTGCTGTGAATATAGACAGCCAAAGCAGGGGAGGGTGCCTGGGGACCAGGGTTTCCCAATCTCTCTGCCTCCCAGTGAAAAAGCCTGGGAGAGGAGGCGGGCGTGTCGTGCCGCTCCTGGGGGTGGGGGCAGAGAAAGCCTGCTGTCTGTGCATAGTGGTGGGCAGCAGGTGCTCAGGGTCCTCCCTGTCCCCACAGCATATGCGAGAGGCTGCTGAACGGCGGCAACAGCTGGAGTTGGAGCATGAGCAAGCCCTGGCTATCCTCAATGCCAAGCAGCAGGAGATCCAGCTTCTGCAGCAGGTGAGCCCAGGAGAGAGAGAGAGAGAGAGAGAGAGAGAGAGAGAGAGAGAGAGAGAGAGAGACAGAGACAGAGACAGAGAGAGACAGAGAGACAGAGAGACAGAGAGACAGAGAGACAGAGAGAGACAGAGTCTGTGTGTCTGTATGTCTCTGTGTGTTTCTGTGTGCTTGGCTGGGTGGGCTGTATGTATGTGCTAGGCCTGGGAGCTTAAACTATGTGTATGTGTGTGTGCATGCCTGCTGAGCCTGGGGAGGTTTTTGTAACTGTGCACCGGGCTGTGTCTTAGGGGCCACAGAGCCCTTTTGTGGCCTTTATTCTACTCGGAGCCCTGGTTTCCCTTAGGCAGACATGCAAAGCTGTCCCATCGGATGCCAGGCTATGGCAGGAAAAGCATGTAGACAGTTCCTGCCAGGGGTGTGTCTTGCCTTAGCTTTGGGAAAGCAGGTTGCACACTGACTTCATCCTGGCCGGCCTGGGATGAGATCCTGTCCCTGGGAAAGGCAAAGGCCAGGCCAGGGCTGTGGCATGTGGTGGAGAGATGGGGACCTAGACTGTGGCTGTGTGAGTCTAGCACATTCCGGTCGTGGCCTGTTATAGCATCACTGGATGGAAGGATTTGAGTTCATAGCTGCTGTTGTTATTAAGTGGTTTTATTAAATGTGTTATTAAGTGGTAAAACTAGATGTGTTCATGGCAGATTCCCTTATTGGGGGTGGGGTGAGAGATTCCAAGAGAAAAGAGGAGAGACATCAGGAAGAAAGGAAGCAGGGCCAGATGATACAAGGTATGCCTTCTACACTGTGATGGGTAGGACCGAGGAAGCCCGCCCCTACCTCAGTCCAAGCTTGCCTTGTTAGCTTGTCTCTTTTCCAGGTAGGAAGATCCCTATTGCAAGAACAGGGGCTGGGAGGGAGGGGCATAAAGAATTAGAATATGGAGACCAGAGACTGACTGACTGTCATCTCTCTCTTCTCTTGCCTGAAGCCCCCCGGGTCCCCATCTTCCTTGCCACTCATTCTTTTAGCAGGGCAGTTGCCCCCCCCCTCCGGCAGTCACCCACACCTGAGCTTCTATGGGATTAGAGGCTAGGCTGTGGGCATGGACTGTGGGTATTTGCTCCTTGGCTCAGTGCTGGCCAGGATGGGTAGTAGGTGACTCCTGTACCTTCTGTGTGGTCCCATACCCATCTGATGATCGTCATGGGTCTTTGATCTTTCAGGGATACTCAGTCGCTTGACCCAACTGAGCAGTGATAAAAAATGTCTGCTTTTCCCAATCAGAGTTATCAACCAGAGGCAACAGGTACCCAAATTTTGAAGCCCCCTTTTTTGAGTCAATATCCAAGACCTTGCATTGGATATAGATTTAATTAAGCTACTGTTCATAGGGACTGTCACAGCTATACTGCTGCCTGTCATAACAAGTTAGCCAGCATACTGAGAAACAATATTTTGTCAGGATATTATTCTTATCTTCCTCCCCAGGGCTGGGAGGAGCAGGATGCTCTTCTCATCTATTCATTACAACTTGGAAGCTGCATCCTCTGGCCGGGTCCATCCGAGACAGATAAAGAGTCTGCAGACATACAAATAATATCTAATAAGGGTGACAGGATATGGCTTCTCCACAGATGGCTCCCTGGGAGCCTGGGGTCATATTGACAGAGTAGCTATCTGATTAGAAAAGGGACCAGCCCCACCGGTTTGCTCGTCCTCATCTTCTCTTTTGTCTGTCATCCAATTTCCCTTGAGCCTTTTGTCCCTTCATCATGTTCTTTATTTTGGACATATGGACACTTCATCATTTGTGAGGACAGAGGAAGAGAAACTGTATAAAATCAAATGCCAATATCTGTAATTTCTTAGAAACGACAGCTCAAATGAGAAAGCATTAGGGAGGGGTGCGGAAGGTGGAGAGGGACACGACAGTGAACTCTTCCCCAAGTTCATGGTCCATTTTGTCTTCTCTGGATGGCACAGTCTGAGCTCTGCCCATGCTGACCATTGCCTTCCACACAGAGTTGGCTCTTTCGTCAGACACTGAGCCAACTCAAAGTGGGAGATAGGGTATCTGGGCAGCCTCTGACTCTGCCATCTCAGGATGGAGGTAAACAGAGAACTACATGACAGAACAAATCAGACCCCATGATGACTAACACCTTGAAGGTAATCAAAACCTCTCAGGGTCCCCAGGCCATTGCATGTTGCACAACTGTCATGTTGTGTGAGTTTACTCCTAACCAAACTACACTCTAGGCACCAGCATGGGATACAGGTCCACAGCGGACAGTATCCAGATGTATCTGCTTGTTGGTTTGGGAGCATTAGGGTTCTGGGAAAGGTCATCTTGTAGTGGGTACTCAGTGATGACTGGGTGAACTCCAGAGCTGGGGGGGGGGTCCAGGTTGGCACAAAGAGTAGGTAAGATGCTGCCCCAATGCAGCCTTCATCACAGCGCCTCTGTGAATTCTTGTCATTGCACACACACTTCTTCATATCCCAGTAGCAAGTGCTGAGTGACTTGTGACCATGGCAATCAGACCTCCTGGAATCTGGGGTATGGAGCCTTGCTCTTCTACAGCTACAGCAAGGAGCTTAGGGTTGCAAATGGGCTAGAGGTCCTGCCATGTAAGCCTGACCCTATGATGACCTCTTCAGAGCTATTCTGTGATCCTAGAATACCATTTCCATGGCCTCAGACTTTTAGAGATTTGGGCCATCTGTGTCCTTGTTCCACAACACAACAATCTACTGTATATTCAAAGGTGGGGCCACATGAGGCCTTGTGCTTCAGAGTGACAGCTTTCAAACCTGGGTCGGTTTCTGAAGTGGGAAAGTAGGAGGTGCAGATGAATGAGCCAGTCAGCCAGCGTGTACTGCACGAAATATTCTTTGTTGATTTCTGCACTTCCAGTAGAAGCCTAGGCTTTGTTATATGTGGAGAATGGGGTATGCACAGACCAACACTACACCTAGACTCAGGACAGCATGGGCCCTGCTATTGTTTGTGTTTCTGGGGATGGAAGCCAGGACCTTGTACATGCTAGGCAAATGTTCTGTCACTGAGAAGTACCTGAAGCTTGGCACCACACTTCCATTTTCCCAGACCTGCCCCGGGGATGTGGACATCTCAGCCCTGACGGGTGTCAACTCACAGCTCCCATCTGAGGACCTGCAGCTCCAATAGTTTCAAGAGGTTTACTTAAACTAATTTAAATAAGAGCAATAGAAATGACTCTGCTCAGTTCCATCCCACACCAATTGCCCTGGGACAGGATGGCTCCTGGGCCAAGTGTCCTATGCCTGAATCCCTCCTGTGCATGTCTGTCTTGAATCTGTCACTGCAGCTGTGGACTGTCCCTTTCTCCTGGACAATCAACCCTGCAGGTGATAGGTCCCTTCTGTTCTGGAGAGAGCATTGTGGGCATCATGGGAACCATAAGTTTTCCTCTGTGCTCCTCCATCTGCAGGCATCCAGTCTCCGCAAAGGTCATACTTCCCCCCACATTGGCAGTGGCCCCGAAATGAGTCTCGCTTGAGTTACTGCTGAGATTTTTTTTCCCTGAGACTCTGGAGCTGCCAACATGGAGTGTTAAATTTAACAATCTATTCTGATCGCCCAAATGGCCCAGCTTGGAAGTGGCCTATGAAAATGAACTCCTGATCATCATCCAGAGACAGAGATGGAGTCATTGCTGCCAAGTTGGCCAGGCCTCCTGGGCCTGCCTGAGTGCTTTGTTGATTGAATTCTGACAGTTGAAAACTGTCTTCGACTCCATGACAGAGAAATTTATAAAAATCTCTGTTTCCTGGCTGTTCCTCCACCCCTTCCCCCACCACCCCATTTTGTAATTTCTTCTGTCATTGTTGCTGTTTTGTTTTGAAAGGAACAACTTCAAGTGTCAATGCATGAGCCGAATTCAATAACTGTGTGATTAGCGGGCCGGGTTCTAGCGGCTTGTCTGGCTCTTATACCCTCACTGGGAATCTGTGAGAATGAGATGCATGGTGAATGTGCTTCTCAGAAATCTTGGGCTTAGGCTCCTCTGAGTCCATGCCATGGAGCTGAGTTCTTGCCTCGGCCCAGCCCACACACAATCTCACAGCGGAGGAGATGAGGTAATGTTCCCTTCTCACCTGCGACAGTGCAAAGTCCAGGCTGATACTCTCCGGAAATGGAAACCCCAGTGTGAGCCCAGATGGGCACGTGGCTTCTTAATTAGAGCAGGTGATGAGGCAGGAGACTGGAGTGCCCAGAGACAAACTGATTCACAAGCTGAAGAATACAGCCTTGGAGGTGTAACTCAGTTGGTACAGCACTTGCCTAGCATGCCTGAGGCTAGGTCAACCCTTGGTATGGCAAACATTTGCTAGGATAGCATGTGCCTGCCACCCTGGCACATGGGATGAGGAAGGAGAAAGATCACTAGTTTATCTTTAGCTACATGGTGAGTTTGAGGCCAGCTTGGGCTGCACGAAACCTCATCTCAAAACAAACAACAAATGAAGCTGAAGAATGCATGGGCCCGCTGATGAGCCCAGGTTAGTCAGACACAGCCTGGTGAGGCAGGGGCCTGAGCTGTCTCTTTACTCCTTCCCATGATGTGACCTTAGACCTCCTGAAGCTCAGTTTATCCACTTTTGGCGGGAGCACCGTATTCTTAACAGTGGGTAGCATTTATCCTAGAAAGTGTATCCGCCTATATTACTACAGTGTGACTTTGGGTGTAGTCAGGCCCAGGGCCTTAAGCAGCTGCTTCAGGCACAGCTGAATCCCAAATGCCATCATAATCCATTTCTCTCTGCCTTCCTCTGGGCCAGCTTCTCCTTTGGTTTTAATGTGTAGGCCCATGGCCATTCTAGCCTTTTCCCTCATGATGGTAAGATGGCTGCAGTTGCTCCTACTTCTCATCTCTAGTCCCAAAGGAAAGGGCCCTCCTATTTGCCCAGCATCTCCCAGCAGAGCTCCTGGCTGGAATTAAGCGCTATAGTCATCAAATAAACTAATTGAAGAGAGTCTGGGATTATACTTATCCTCTTCCTTCAGTGGTACAAATTTAGGCCTTCTCCTCAGGTGATGAGGCCACAGAGACAAATATGAGGTGGACTATCACTATGCTGGGACCTCGGGAGGATGGGGACAGGAAACAATGAAGATTGCACTTAAATTTTCTGTGCCAGACAGGGGCTCTCATGCAAAATTTCTTCAGCAAAGTGCTGACATGTCTTCTTTTGTGTAGCGTGACCTTAACTGTGGGAAAGGGGCAGGCCCCTGCCACAGGCTGAGGGTACAGGATTCCACATACCACAGTGCCTCCTTCAGGCCTGGGTGACCTGAGGAGGACCTGGAGCTTAAGCAGGATAGTGCCACGTGTCCCAGGAGGAGGATGGGATGAGAAGACAGAGCTCTTCAGGCTTAGCATGGAGATCCCAGTGCTCTGGTTCAAACCCATGTGGTTTCTTCTCTGCTACAGGAACAGAGCCATCTCTGTGTAGCCCTGGCTGTCCTGGAACTTATTCTGGAGACCAGGCTGGCCTTGAACTCATAGAGATCTCTGCCTCTGTCTGCTATACTATTGATGCTGGGCCCTCACTGCTCTTGGATACCCTGCTGTCCTGTGTTATGGAGATGCTGCAGCTTTGGGTATGCAGGACCAGCCCCTTCACGTGCTCCAGCACACTGTAGATGGGGTGGATGTTGGGGTGGGCCTGGGTAGTTGCGGGGTTGGTCAGCCCACCAGCTCTTCCCCAAGCAAGGGGCCAGTTCTCCTTGCAGCTGCCATTCTTAAGGGTCCATCCTTTCTCTGCTTGACTGGCCGAAGATCATCAGAACCAACCGAATCCTCACATCTGGTGCAGCTCAGGGGAAAACCTGCAGAATCTACCCTCGTAGTGGGAAATCAGGACACCCCCCTCCCCACCACCATGGGCACACTCTGGTCATGCAGCTTCTGACCCAAGTCTCTCCTCTCCTTCCTAAATACTCTTTTCTTTCTCCACCGTGAACAGGCTCAGGTTGAAGCTAAGAAGGAGCATGAAGGTGCTGTGCAGCTGTTAGAGGTGAGCATGGGTGGGTGGGTAGAGGCTGGGAGGACTCTATAACTGCCAGAAAAGAAATGGTACCTACCGCGTGTCGGACACTAGACATGGCCACACACCCCCTCACTCACATCGTCCTCACAAGCCTGTGCTCTCCTATGCACAGTCACCATTCCTATCTCTACCACTGAGGAAACAGCACAGAGAGGCGACTCAACTTTTCCTTAGTCACACAGCTGGGGCCAGAGCTGTGTGTCTCAGTGGGCTGTGCCTTTTGGCTAGCTGCTCTCAATAGGAAATGAGGAGGGGTTTCTTCTAGGGTCAGTGTTGGGTTATTCCTGGGGGCTCCATCCTCTGAGGGATGGCATGGGGGACATTGCTGAAGCTTTGTATTCTTGCTGGAGAGACACTTGCAGGATCAGAGAAAGGAGGGTCGAGGACATTGGTTCTCAACCTTCCTAATGCTGTGACCCTTTAATGTAGTTCATCATGTGGTGATCATAGCTGTAAAGCTATTTCATCGATACTTCATAACTTAAATTTCTACTGTTACGAATTGTAATGTAAATATCTGATATGCAGGATATCTGATATTTGAGCCCCCCACAAAGGTTGAAGACCACTGATCTAGGAACGAAGTAGTTAATGCCACACCAGCCACTTCTGGGATCATTGTCCCCATGAGAGTGGCCATCTCCGCCACATGCAGACCTTTCTTAGTGGTCCTGAGGTGGTTCTGGAAACAGAACAGCCACTGGACCCCATCATCTGGGGTGGCACACTGGGAGTGACCACTTCTGGTCCGTGGCTTTAGTCCTATGTCAGTCTCCCTGGAGAATGATAGGCAGGTAGAAGGAAGTTGAGATCTTGGTGTCCTTAGGAGTCTTTGCCATTCATTCCTCATGCATAGTGACCAGTTAGCCATGGTCACACTGTGATTGGGGTAGTGGTGAATTGTACTAGCTATGTGGCCCCCCTGCTGCCAGGGAAGGGGACTTTCCAAGTAATTGCAAGATGTCCCCTTCCCTGGGGCAGTAGCTGCCACTGAACACAGAGTGTGTGCACCTCTTGCGTCAACTTCCAGAATCTATTCCTCCCACAGGGAAGGTTCTCTGGCCACTCTCCCATGTATTAACATTGGTCTTTGGAAAGTTCCCATTAGTTAGTATCAGGAGGGGCATGTGTGTATTGCAGGACAGAAAGATACACATCCTGGGAAAATGGAACAGGCTACCCCCAGATAGACATCCACCTCCCTGAGGGAGCGGTTTAGTCTGACCTCCCCTGGCTAGAAATGAGTCCCTTTCTCCAGTTGCCTGGAAGTTTACCATCTTGGTCACACATGTCATTTCCACCTCCTGAGTTGTCACTGCAGCCTGTTACAGCACTGCTGGGTAGCCTGTGCTTTGAGCTATGTTAACATCCGTGACACAACATGCCTTCATTCGGAAGCTGGGGAAGGCCACTCGGCCGTGGGCTGTACTGGGCACTTCATTCACGCCATCTTTCTGTAATTGTCTTGTCTGGCTCTCCACCCAGAACACTCTGGAGTGCATGCAGGTATTCAGTGTGGCTTTCCCATCCGTGCATGTGCCCTGTGGTGCTTTCCCTATGTGGGCAGCCCTGGATCTGCTCCTCCTCCTCCTACAAAGCACCCCGAGGGTCTGACCCTGCACAGGTGCCTGGTATGGGTATGGACCAGAGCTCCTCAGGCTGGTGCCAGCTAAGAAGTGGGAAGAGGCATACACAAACACTTTCTCAGAGTGCTGAGCTGGCCCTGTGCACACGTCTTCCTGTTGCTTGCCAATGCTGTGAATTCCGATGATCGTGGGAAGGAGGCTGGGACTGATGTTCTTGGGATTGGTGCGTGGATGGGAGGGCCTGGAAATATGCTTAGAATTCTATTATGGGTCATCAGAATTCACCGTGTGACCCATGTATGCTTATTCTCCTATCCCATCCATCCAGAGCCAACAGCAAGCTCCTTCCACAGGGGACAGGTTACTCTTTCCATCTACCCCTGGTGTGGTCCCTGGCTCAGACCAAGGACTGATAGATATTAAAGTCAGAGAGGGGTAGCCTTCCTCATTGCGAGATGAGGGGCTGTCTCTCAAGAGGGTTCCTTAGACTGACCATCATGGCGTCTCTGGGAGCTTGTCACAAATACTGATCCCCAGGCCGAGGAAACTCACAGATAGAGCTTTGTCTTATGCAGCCCTTCAGGATCCCAGGTAGTTGGGTCTGAGCCATGTGTCAGAGAACATGGTAGAGGAGGCATCAGGCTATCCGTTGAGAAAGAGGGACACTTGAAGTCTTCACCAGTGCCCATCCAGTTGTTATAACTGAGAACTCCTGCCCTCTGCAGCCCAGGCCAATCCCAGACCCCACCCTAGCTCTGTGGAGAGACTGGGAGGCAAAAATCCCACACACTAGTTGTCAGGACACCTTCTAAGGGTGTCTAACTTTGGAGTATGTGGAATAACTAGATGTCACCTGGGTGATGGTCTTTAGGCAGAAGCACTGCCAAGAAAAGTAGTCTTTTCCCCGTGGCATCAGCAATATAGCCACTAGAGGAGGCTGAGTTGGGATGTGTGTTGCAGCAAAGCCCTCTGCATACCCACCAGCTCCACAGATATTTGAAATTCCCAGTGGGTGCATGGTCAGTGTGTGGGATGGGGAGGCTGCTGCCCAAGACACCCAAGAGAATGCCAGTTTCAGGAGTTGATGAGAAACCCAGTGAGCATCCTTTAGTAGGGACCCCAAGGGCAAAAGGTAGCATACCCAGCACACAGCTGCATCCCTCTACCTATAGCAGGTGAAGTGGTGGCAGCTGCCTTGCTGAGTTGCAAGGGGGCTTTAGAGAATGCTGGCCCTTACTTAGCCCATGTGCCATGTGTTCCTGATAGAAGGGGAGAGTGTGCCTGGTGGCATCACCTCCCTGCCACTGAGAAAAGTCTCAGCCATGAAAACGTATGGTGGAGACCACTGTGTGTGTGTGTGGACAATGTCAGAATGCGAGCAAGGGGTCTGGGCCTTGAGGACAAGGCTATTTCCACACAGATCTGTTCCTATGGCAACCATAATGGATGCACAGGACTCCATGTGCTTGTGGGTGACTCTGCAGGTGATTTCTGCGTGCCCCATTGTCTTTAATTGGAGAAGTGTCCTTTACCTTCAAAGCTCTTTAGCTTGGACACAAGCCCAGCATGCAGCCACACACCACAGGAAATTAAAGTCAGAGAAACTCTTGTGGAGGCAGCCGGGAAGCTGGCAGTCATGTCTTCGGATATTTGCCTCTGGCTTTTAAATGCTCTGCCTGCATTTGTAAGCTGCTGCTCTTAGTCCAATTATAGAACGCTTTGCCATCTGCCACAGCCATGGTCACAGCACAGACCCCTCCATCCCCCGCCTGCAGGTGGTGGTTCTCTGAGAGGCTTGGACTGGGCCAGGAGAGAAGAGTGGGTGGGCATACCCATGAGGCTGAGTGAACACACACAGGCAAGGTTCCCACCATGCAACAGAGACTCCACAATGCTCCGGATAAACTGAAAGAAACACCACAGAATCAAAGCAGTAGCCAGGAGCAGAACTGCTGTTCCTAGAAGTGGGTGACTTCAATCTATCAGAGCACCTAACCAATGAGTGGCCCAGACACGCAGCAGCTGCACCCAAGGAAGGCTGGGGGCCATGTGCATACAGCCTCTTGAGAACAGACCAACAGGGATGCCTAGGCATTTGAGGTTAGTATGGGCATCTCTTCTGTGCTGTTGGAAGCTGCTGAGACCTGAGTTAGCATCTCACCTTTCAAAGCTGTTTTCTCTGATGTTTGAGGAGAGACCAGCCCAAGAGGCTGGGAAGAAAGGTTTGTCAGATTCTGTGCAGTAACCTTGAGGACTAGACTCTACCTACCACTACCTTTCAGTTTACTGAGTCACCCCCAAGTCTAGGCCCACTGCAGCGCCCTTTGTGGACATATTTTACAAGGCAAACAGTTACTGACACATGCTCAAGAGGGGACATTGGCCTGCATGCCTCAGTTGGTTCTGCCAAGAAGTCCCAGGCCTCTTGATCATGCACATCTCCACCATCAGCTCCCTGCATGCTTACTGGAGGGAAAGCTGCTTGAAGCATTGTCTAGACACAAGGATATTAAAAATCCCAGCCTTAGCCACCAATTCAAGGACAGCTTTCACCTTCCTGTTTCTTATTTATTCACTGATGGGACAGTGCTTAGATATGTGAGCCAGCTCCAAGTTTAAATACTTTATTTTATGTATATGGGTATATACCACGTACATGCTGTGCCCACAGAGGTCAGAAGAGGGTGTTGGACTGACTGGAACTCAAGTAACAAACAGTTGTGCATTTCCATGTAGGTACTGGGACTCGAACCTGGGTCCTGTGGAAGAGCAGCTCTAAATCACTGAGCCATTGCTCTAGTGCCATGTTCATATACTTCCATTTTCACTAACTAACGCCACATTTTCCCATGCCTCACACTTGGGAAAAAGTATACCTATAACCCTGGCATAGAAACTAGTCCGCTTGACTCTGAGACCTCTGGACTGGTTGCTAGTGGCCTTTGGGGGCCAGGGAGGACACAGACCTGGAGAGGCAGGCTCAGATGGTCTGAGCTGGTCATGCTCCTTGGACGCAGAACCCTAGTCAGTGCATACTGACCATCTCTTACTTTGGTTAAGTGAATCAGTTGTTCATGTATGAAGTCATAGCTCCTGAAATATCTATACAACACTGATACCAGCTTTTTTATTTAGTAATTTGGACTTACATAGCTACAACCAGATGTATGGAGTCTGTTGCCCTTGAATAGTTACACCCTCTCCCAAGCTGAAGGCTGGCAAGCACTGGCCAGCTCCCTAATGAACAGCATTGACATTTTGTGGTGTGATTGGAGAGTCCTTCTGCCTCTCCTTAGTTAGGTCTGGTTGTTGTGCAAGATGCTCAGAGATGCTTTTCAGAATGTGGGATTATTCAAATGTGGTTTCCTGCTCATACTCACATGCAGGGGACCTCACTGGCCTCTGTAAGTACTCAGGGCACATTTGATAACTCGGGTGATCTGATGGCTTTCCTCTCATCAGGACAGTTGATGTTGGTTCCTCTGATGACCCTGATGTCACCATCCCACACATGGATTCTGCTCTTGGGGTCATTCCTATCCTGACTCCTGAATCTCCCTACATTCTCCACAGCCCACCTGTGCAGCAGAGCCCAGAGATTTGGTCTCTTGCCTCCCTTTGAGGTGAAGGCTGTCTGAGCCAACCTCATTCAGCTTTTAAAAAGAGGAACCCTGCTGATTTTTTTAATGAATTGAAGAAATTAATTATAGGCTTGGGATCCATTGCGGTTATTTTTAGAAACCCGTGATCTCAGACATAAATAGCACTCTGTTCTGGATGAAAGAGCTGGGATACTTAATGCTTATGGCATGGGAAAGAGGGAGAGGAGGTAGAAGAGGAGGGGAGAAGAGGGGAGAGGGGGAGAGAGAGAAGGGTGAGGATGGGGAGAGAGAAAGAAGAAGGGATGGAAGGACAAAGAAGAGGGGAAGGAAAAGGAAGTACCATGTCAGGAAGTAGAAGAGGTGGAGGAGGATGGGGAGGAGGAAGAGGAAGGAGAGGGGGTAAAGGAGGAGGAGGAACAAAAGATCTGGAAGAGGATGTAGAGGAGGAAAAGGAAAGAAAAGAGATGAAGGAAGAGGATGACGGAGAGGGAGAGACAGAAGGGGATGGAGGAGGCAGAGATGGGGGAGGAGCTAGAGAAGGGATAGAAGGTGGAGGAGGGGGATTGTCCACTCGTGAGCCCCTATGAAGCCAGGCAGCACATTGACTCACAGTCATTTTTCTACATTCCCATTGCCTATAATAAAACAAGACTCTATTGAACTAGGTACTTAGGTCAGGGTCAAGTTCTTGGGGAGCAACAGGAAGCACACAGATTAAACCCTTGCCTTACCTCATGATGCTGAAATTCCAATGGAGAGCCCCACAGCACCCAGGAGCAACCTACCACACTTGTCCTGCCCAAGGAGGGAGCTTGCTGGCTACCCTTTTCTTCCATGTGTTTTCCCGGGAGGTTCTTGTCTTTCCAGGTGTCATGGTGGTGTCGGCCAATGACAGTGGTGTTTCTAACCCAATAGCAAGGAGAATTTCCCTGGTGTTGGGGCAAACCATGGTCTTTGAGGGTCTGCAGGCTCATGAGATGGCATTGCATGATGGGTTGGCAGCTGGGCTGTTCCCTAGTCAGTGCTGTTTCAGCCTCACGCTCCAAACATCAAGCAGGCGTGCCAACCACAAAGTGCCCAGGCTGCACGCAGAGCCTGGAACAATCCACACTTGGCTGGGAGCTGAGCGATGGCAAGATTTCTTGGCACCTGTTGTTCCCCATGGTGGCCAGCAGCCAGGCTGCCTGTGAGGCTGGGCTACCAGACACTGCTGTTCTGTGGAGGTGGAAGCAGCCCCCGCCATACACAGGCGCACAGCATGTGCACGCACACACACTCTTAAAAGACACATGTGCCCCCGTGCACATCTGCATCACTGAATCACCCCGCTTTGACTACTATCCTGCCTCTGCTGTGTAGTCCAAGGTCCGAGAGCTGGAAGAGAAATGTCGCGTGCAGAGTGAGCAGTTTAACCTTTTGTCCCGGGACCTGGAGAAGTTCCGGCAACACACTGGGAGCATTGACTTGTTGGGCAGCAGCTCAGTGGCCTTGCTGGATGTCCCCTTGGCCCCTGGCAAGCCTTTCCCACAGTACATGAATGGACTAACCACCTCCATACGCAAAGGTAAGTGGCAGATGTTTGCAACAGCTGGGGGAGGGTGCCTATGGTGGAGAGTATGAAGACTTACTACAGCAGGACTAAGGACAGCCCAGGCTGCTATGTCCTTATCCATTCATAGAGTGGCTTGAATACTCTAGTATCGGGGGGAGCATGTTTGTGTGGGTATGGTGCACACACATGTGTGAGTACATACATGTAGAAGACAGAGGTCAGTCTTTGATGATGTTTCTCAGGATCTATCCACCTTGCTTTGAGACAGGGTCACGCATTGTCCCAGGGTTTGTGGATTAGTCTAAGATGACTGGCAAGTCCAAATGAACTCCAGGAATATGCTTATCTCCATGGCTCCAGCACTGGAATTCTGAGATATGCTGCCATGTCTAGCTTTTTGCATGGGTGCTGGAGATAGAACTCAATTCTTCATGCTGGTGTGGCAAACACTATCAACTAAACTATCCCCCCCCTTTTCCTCCAGATTATAGGCTCATACCTGTAATCCAGCACTTGAGTAGCCGATAGCAGAAAACTGCAGCTACTTCCTGAAGAGTCTTGGCTATAGTGCAAGACTCTGTGTTAAAAACAAAAACATACCCCCAAGTTGTTGATTTATTTCAATTAGGGGAGCAATTAGGGATCCAAATGCCAGACTTCCTTTTGTAACTATGTTAAGACAATTTTCAGTCTCTCCTGGTTCTTATCAAAATGGAGAGGTGCTCCTGGTATTTTTTTTTTTTTAATTATAAAAACTAGGCAGTGCTCATTGCTCTGTGTCATCATCAATGGAGTTCTTTTCCCCAGCTCCTCAGCTATTAACATCTTTCCTTCTAGCTCTCGAATTGCAGGGACTGACAGACAGCACTAGTGACTTTGCTATGAGAAACAAGATGGAGGGAATGGGGCTGCCCAAGGCCTTCTAGTTGTTTACTGAACAGAATTCATCCAGGAGGTGTCTGGGTGCCAAGATTGTGATGTCTGTTAGAAGGCAGGGTCCTGTAGGAAGCCTTGCAAGAGATCAGATAGGCTTCAAGGTGGCTTCTGGCCCAGACAGATGCTTGCATATAGACTATGAGGTAGAAAGAAGACTATTCTAGAAGGGATGGTTGGGCTCCGTATTCAAGCTATGAAAGGCACAAGACAGCTTCTGTTCTCTCCAGAGAACCTGCAGCTTCCTATTTTGCATCCTAGCTGCAAGGGAGTCACACAGATCACCCCTTCAGGAAAGGCAAAGTCCTAGAAGGCCACCTAACGCTTAGCTGAAAGTTTCTTTGGGGGAGGGGTGGTCACCCAGGTACCTCTACCTGGCATGTGTCCAGTTTTGACTCAGAAGGAATGCAAATTCTTGGCACCAGCCACAGGTGTGCACCGACCGCTCTTCTCAGGCATGAAGTGGCTGATGCCCTCTTGAATTTTCAGCAGCTGCGATCATCTACGGGAGAGAGCTGCACAAGACTGGGTCCATTAACTTCCTGCTGTGAATGGCCTCATGAGGCCCTGCCTCCTCTCTGAGGATTTATAGACAGTTCATGACTGCTGAGGGAGGGTCTTATAGAGTTCCCCACCCAATAAGAGAAAGGCGTTTTCTTTTATGGTGTATCTGCTTGTGAACACCCTCTGCTATTCTAATTAGCTCTAACATATTGGTTTACCAACCTAGATAGTCCCTTAGAGATGTGCCCATGTGCCATGGGACCGAGAGTGTGTGCTTCTTGGTTGTGTTTGGGAGCAATATAGTCTGATGCACTGTAGATGGAGTATTGAATACCAAGACCTAAACCTATTCACCTTGAAGGTCAGGACTTTGCCACTAACATTTCTCCACCATCCCTCTCCCTTGCCCCGCTGGCCACCACTTTCTCCCTCTGCTTCTAGGACTCTGACATCATCAGAGTCCGCATGTGACTGGCCAGTGTAGTCTGCATCTTCTGGTATCTAGATTATTTTATTTTGAATAAGGCATTCCAGGTAATTCCACACTGGTGGGAGCGGCAGGACTTTCCTCTTTATTTAAGGCATTTACTGGGTAGCTAATTGCATTGGCTTTAGTCACTTTTTATTTCCTGACTTGGCCTTGGAGGTAGTGGGGGGGGGTGTCCTGTCCCTGAGTAAAGTAACTTCTTGATGTGGCAGTTCAGGAAGAGGCTGGATGTCCCAAACAAGAGACATGCTGACTTGGAGGCAGCAAAGGACGCCAGGGAAGGACAGGCCGTACTTCATGTTTAGATTCTGATTTAATAGAGTGTGGCTTTAGAGTGTAGATCAGGCCATCCTGGGTCAGTGTGCTCCAGACCTGGCCTTAGTAACACACTGTGAGGATAGTACATGCTTTGGTACTGAGAAACCTATCAAATAATTTCTAGCCAGAAAGTTGGTAATTGAACAAGTTGGGACTTTTTTATTTTTGGTCCAAGTGACAACAGATTTCACCATAAACCAGTATGAGTAGTAAGGTAATTGTCATCCAAGAGGTGAAAAGCCAGACTGTAGCTTCAGATACAGGTTTACTCAGGTACCTTTGGTGATGTCACAGGCTCTGCCTTTCCATATTACAGTGCCCAGCTCTGTGGGCACACTGTGTTCTTTCCTATCCCAATCAGAAAGGCTGTGGGGTCACTGAGCCTTCAAGCCAACAGAAGGAAAAGACCCCATGCTCAGGATGCACTAACCTTCCCTGATTGGACCTTCTTGTGGCTCATATCACATGTCATCGCCAAGCCTTCAGTCCAGCCAGCCTGTATGCTACCCATGATGATCCGGGGCTATAGTGAACCAGCCCGAGGGAACTGGGACATGGGTGGACCTGACATGGACACCAGAGAGAGGAAAGTACAGGGAAGGAAACTAGCTAGCACACTGATCTGATGGCCCATCTCCTTCCCCATCCACTATTGTGTCCTGGCCAGGTCACGAGGGCCCCACTGGACACTATTCTGTGATTGGTGACTATATCCCGTTGTCTGGGAACAAACTGGAGCCTCCGTGTGTGAAGCCCTCCTTCCTGTTACGATCCAGCAGCCCAAGATGCAGATTTGAGTCCGAGGTGAGTCCCACTTAGCCAGCTCCAGACTGAATCTGGAAGGATGGATGTCTATGCCCCACTCCTTCATCCTTCCCTCCACGCCCTCTTCCTTTCTCCCACTCACCCTGGTCCTGCTTTGTTCCACTAATTTTCTACATCCCTCACCATGGGTCAGGAAGTAGGGACCTGCTGTTGAGAGGCAGAGGAGACCCTGGATATTATGAGGGGGATACAAGTGGTGGGTAAGGATACAGCACCCCATCAGTATCTGAACAGCCAAGCCCCCGTGAGGGTTCTACAGACAGCAGAACTGGCTATGGGGACTTCTGATTGGACAGGGAGGGGCTGTGAAACCAGGAGGGTTCCTCCTTGGTGTCACTGTATGCCTGAGAAGCCAGGCTTTTGGTTGGCTGAGTAGGGCTGGGAGGTGGTGGGGGTGGGGATAGGTGTCGCTTTGGTCCCTTGAACAGCATTAGTCCCTGTGTAAGTCAAACAGGATGGTGCTGGAGCGCTCCCAGGAAGGAGTGGCATGGCTTGATAGGCGCCACGAAGGAGCACCCTGCCTCCCACACACATAGGGGATGGGAGGGGACTTGCCTTCTCTAGGACACTATAGCTCAATCTCCCTTTTACCTGAGGCTGAGTGAGAGTGCCCTTATCTCAGAGGCCTATGGCCGCACGCCCTGGGATTGCTGCAATAGGGACTGTGCTGGCAGTGGCCTTAAATTCTGCAGATGCCGAGACCCCAGGGTGAAAGAGAGGCAATGAGAGGTATTTAGAAGGGAGTTCTGCTTTGGCTCCACCTCTCTCTCTACAGACCTGTCCCTGAGAAAGCAGCAGCTCCCTCCCCCTCCCCCAGATGCTCAAGGTATTTAAGACCAGGCCCATAGCCCTGACACGTGATTTCTCTCCTGCCTTCCTCCTCCAAGAATCGCCCAGGAGTTGCTTTGCTCAGATTAAACCTGGTCTTATTAATTTGGCTGGATTTGGCTTACTGCGTGTGGAGAAACCCCACAACTGGGGATTTTCAAAGTACTTATCAAGAGGGTTCCTACTTTTCCCTTTCCCGTGGGTCCCTGTGGCTTACTGAATGCCACTGGAGATGGCAAATGGGGTCCTCCCTAGGAAGAGCCCTCTGCAAGCAGAGGGTGTGGTCACCTTTGTCTTCCGCCATGACATTCCGGTGTCTCAGGCTATAGTACATGGGGAGGGCACCCAAGTCTCTGCTGATGCTCAGGCTAGGGTTCCAGCAAAGGTCAGTGGATGTGGTTCCTATTTCATGAGAGTGTCATAGACTGGGCTATTTTCCCAATGAAGCTCAGTGAGGCTACGGACAGATTTCGTGAATGTCATCATGGATGGTGCCGTGTCACTGTGTGTGTGTGTGTGTGTGTGTGTGTGTGTGTGTGTGTGTGTGTGTGTGTGTGTGGTGAAATGCAACCTTCGGTAGCATTAACTACAAACCACCATCACTGCCCTCACAGATGGACAATGACCGGAACTCTAACAACTCCAAGCAAAGCAGCTCGGGGAAGGTGCACCTGTGTGTTGCCCGATACAGGTAGGGATGCAACACCACATCCTCCACCCTGAGTGCTGAGGCAGAAGAAGCAGGTGAGAGGCAGAGAGTGCACATGCACAGGATGAGACCACACTTCGTTCCACCGAGCCTCTGTGACTCAGTGTCTAAAGTTGAGCACCCAGGGGCTTGCTCCCTCACACTCCCGAGGTCAGCAGCTGAATTAAGGTGCCCCATGGCCATGGCTCCAGGAAGACTCTTGGGGAGAGTCTTGGGTCCTTTTCAGGCTCTGGTGGCTCTAGTACCCGTAGCTTGTTGCTGCATCTCTCTGGTCTCTGTCTGCACTTTCCCATGGCCTCCTCTTCTATGTGTGTTCCTGTGTCTCATGCATTAATCTCCATCCTGGCCAGTGTGATATTTTCTCACCTGGGTGAAGTGTGCAGGGAACTCTTGGCAAACGAGGCCACATTCACAGAGATCAGGAGCTGAGACTTGTGGCAGATCTTTTTGGGGGATATCACTTAATCCACAACAGGTGGCAAACAGAATGTCACTGGGGAGACCGTGCCCAGAACCTCCATCAATGCCTCCCATTCCCCACCCTCTATTATCTTGCCCAAATCCCAGGCATCGTATCTTAGAAGTACTCAGTAGATCATACGGTTGATCAAACAAATGCAGTTTCTGGAATTTTTTTCTTTGTGAAAGTGTGCAAAGAGATGTCATAAGGACATTTGATAGGATACTGAATAAATTACTATTTAGGAGTTAGAAGCAGTGTCTACATTTTGATATTAGAAAAAACAATTACATTAAGTTTGGTGACCTCAACAGTGAAATTCTATACAAAAACTAAAAAAGGCAATGGCAGACTTCATAAAATAGAAATACAATGTCCTACATTGTAAGCTGAAAAAAAAAGGTAAGTAGCATGCATAATGCTCTTCTTCAGTTAATACATATTTAGAGGCAACATAATTGAACTGGAGAGATGACTTAGCTGTCAAGAGTCATCAATGTCCTTCCAGAGGATGCAGGTTCAATTCCAAGCACCCACTTCAGGCAGCTCGCAATTGCTTGCAACTCCAGCTCAGTGCCCTCTTCTGGCTTCCACAGACACCACACATGAACATGCACATATACACACCCAGACACATACACATAAAGAAGTAAATCGTAACAAATAAAAGCAATGGTGTTTACTCTGTTTGTAGCAGCACACTAATTTGGAAATGTATAGTTCAGGTGAAGAGACGCATGGAAACAAGATGTCTGGACAAGATGTCCTCAGATTCAAAGAGCTCTCAGGGGCTTCAGAATTACGTGTAGCATAAATAATGAAAACCAGAGACAGATATTGGGGTTCAAGCTGAAGATCAGAAAAGCAAATCAGCCAGCTACTAGAGAGCTCTTACCTCTACAAAATCTTCAGAGAGAGAGCGAAAAAGAGAGAGAGAGTTCCTGTCTCATCCTTCCTTACATTCCTCTCTAATGTTGGGATTAAAGGTGTATACCACCACTGCCTGGCCTCTATGGCTGACTAGTGTGGCTAGCTTTGCATTCTGAACTTCAGGTTAGCATTATTTGTTGGACAATAAACAAAATATCACCTTTAACTATTGGTGTGAGCTAGCCAGAAGAGACTTGAGAGAAGACATAGGATCTCACTAACATGAGCTATGGCACCATTTGAGGGGTAACAGATGTGAGGACCACATGCTGGCAGACCATGACCAGGGCCACTAACATGCAAACTGCTTCTTCCCACAGTTATAACCCCTTTGATGGGCCCAATGAGAACCCGGAAGCTGAGCTGCCTCTCACGGCGGGAAAGTACCTCTACGTCTATGGGGACATGGATGAGGATGGGTTCTATGAAGGTCTGTGGCTGTGCTGCGGTTGGTGGGCACTGGCTTGTTCCAGGCAGAAGACCAGCATGCCCGGGCCCTGGGAGATGCGCCAGGTTCCCACATGTTCCTGGCTGCTAGCTCTCTGTTCTGTCCCTCCCTATCCCCAGAGGTCCCAGTCTCCCTCTGTGTTAATTGCCAGGACAGTAGAGCTGTCTTTCCAAGTGTTAATGGCAATAGATGGCTGGTACTTGGGAGCCTCAAGTATTCATCTTGGCAGAGTTCCTGGGCATCTGCGCACTGACATTGATGCTGATAGATGCTCTATAGCCACCTCTCATTATCCATGGGGAACAGGTCAACACTCAACCTCAAGGATGCTTGAGTCCATTTTAAAATCATGCGGTGTTTGCATATAACCTGGGTGCCTCCTCCTGTGCACTGGGACTCCTTCCTAGATGACTTCTGACACACACAGTAAAGTACCTGCCTGTGACAATCAGACTGCAGACAGACTCTGTACATGCTCTATACAGATAAACTTATTTTTCTTTTTATAATTTAAACTTTTTATTTATTTTACATACCAATCAGTTTCCCCTCCCTCCTCACCTCCCATTCCCTCCCCCAACCTCTTTTCCACCTCCTATCCACTCCTCAGAAAAAGTAAGGCCTCCCATGGCCAGTCAGCAACACCTGGCATACCAAGTCGAGGCAGGACCAAGCTCCTCCCCACTGTGTCAAGGCTGAGCAAGGCATTCCCTCCCATAGGGAATACAAAGAGCCAGCTCATGCACCAGGGACTGGTCATAGTCCCACTGTTAGGGGCCTCGCAAACAGACCAAGCTATGAAACTGTCCCCCACACACAGAGGGTCTAGCTCGGTCACATGCAGGCTCCCTAGGTGTTAGTCTGAAGTCCCTGAACTCCAACTCCTATGTGCTTGGGTCAGCTGTCTCTGTGGGTTGGTTCCTGTTATGATCTTGATCCCAAACTTATTTCTTAAACCTTTTCTGTAATTCTGAGGACAGGGGACTGGTGGGTAATAAGAACCATCCTGTTTCCCAAAGTGCCCATCTGTGTCATCTATGGTGGAACCATCATATGACCTCACTGAGTGCGGCTTTCCTGTTCTTGGGGGCCTTGAGGCTGTTGTTAGTTCAGAGGTCCAACCTCATTCCCTGACACCCCCTTCTCATTCTTCTCGCCCCTAGAGTTTACAGAAAGGAACTGGGCTCCGTCTACCCAGAAGCCCTCTGCTTTGTTGCCTTTTAGCCTGACAGCAGTACTGCTGCCCACAATCAGCTTTCTGGTTTTATTTGTATTTTATGTGTATGGGTGTTTTGCCTGCATGTATGTCTGTGTATCACATGTGTGCAGTACCTGGGAAGACCTGAAGAGGGCATCAGACCCCCTGGAACTAGAGTTGCAGGTGGTTGTAAGTCATGGAGTGGGTGCTAGGAATTGAACCCAGGTCCCCTGGATGAGCATCCCATGCTCTTAAGCATTGAGCCATCTCTCCAGACCCTGCTTCCTGAGTCTAGTTGGAGTTGTCCATCCCATGGCCCTTCTGCTCTGTGGGAAAGCCTGGTCTTGTCCTAGTGTCCTGAGCAGGAGGGACCATTGTTGAGCTAGTTTTCTCTTGCATGAGTTTGGATTGCATCTCAGAGTACATGGGAGCTCTGGGTCTCATTTTCTGGATGCCCACTTATGGGAGGTTGCTTTGTTCCTGTGACATCATAAGCTGAGGCCGAGTGAGTGGGCAGCCCTCTTCTTGGATGTATAGCCCTAGCAGATCTCACCTTAGGGTCAGCAGAGTGCCCAGCTCTACTGCCAGATGACCTAGTTGAAGTCCCTGAAACTTTGCCATCATGCATTGTACCCACCTAAAGGCTCTGAGGGCCTCACTCAAAGGGGTTCCCAAACTCAGGTTTTGATGGTCTGTGTGACCGTGGGACTTGTTTCTGTTCTCTGTGCCTCCATCTTTCCCATTGCAGGATGGCGAGAGCAATAGCACTCACTGTTCTCAATGTCTACAAGATGGGTTGGATGCTAGGAAGTGCTTGGAACATTGCCTTGTACATGGTCATTGCTCAATAATGTTAGATACTGTCATCACCATCCACATCATCACCACTGTCATAATTACCCTTATCACCTCTGTCTCCACCATCATGGTTCCCATCAACATCACCACTATCATAATCACCATCATCACCATCACCATTATCAATCACCATTATTATCACCACTGGCATCATTATTGTTATCATATCATCATTACTACCACTATCATTATTACCATCATCACCAGCACCACAATTATTATCAACAATATTACCATATCACTATCACTACCATATTATCATTATTATCACAACACCCACCATCATCATCACCACCACTATCAACTCCATCTTTATTGTTAACAACGTCATTACCAGCATCACTTCCATGTGTCAGACTTTGGTGCAAAGGATTGACTGCCTTAAGACCTATACCCTAAGTAGAGGTTAGGAACAGAATACAAATCTTAATTTGCCCTGTACATGCCATGTCACAGATCTCTCAAGGCAGGGAGAAATCCAATGGTCATGGTGCCACAACCTCCTGGGGTCACCTGGCCTCTCTTGGAAGGTATGCTATGATAAATGAGTCCCATTAATTCAAGAGCACATGCGTGCGAGCGCACGTGCGCATGTGCGCGCGCGCGCGCGCACACACACACACACACACACACACACACACACAGAGACAGACAGACAGACAGACAGACAGACAGAGAGACAGAGGCAGAAAGACAGAGTTCAGCTGCTTTCTAGAATAAAAAAGGCCACTCACCTCAACAAAAGCTAGGAAGTGTTTGGAACATATAGCATTTGCTTATGTCACACAACTTAATGGCAACTCTAATTGTCTCTGACACTTTGATAACAATCCAGTGTTTTTATTTCACATTGGATGGATGCTAGGGACCTAGGTGCTTGGGTGATTTACCCAATAGGGAGCTACCTTTAAATCCCTATTCACATGATCCTATGATTAAAAATGGTAGACATTTGTTAATCTCCAAAAGCCATGGATTTGACATGTTTCTTCATCTTGACATTTATTGAACACCAACTGTGTGCTGGGTTTTTCCAATGCTGGGCACTCAGTCAACATGAGCTTTTATTCCTATTGAACAGCTTCCTTGTTACTAGCATGTGCTTGGTGTGTACACCCAGATTCTCATAGGGCTGACTGAGGAAATCAGACTTGGTGATGGATGGGGTTATTGCAGACAGAAGGTATGGAGGGGACAGGAATGTGAACTCCTGTGATGCTTTGCTTTGTGCCATGCTGTGGGGTCCAGAGTCCTGGGGGATGGAGAGTAACATCTGTTCTTGTATCCTATAGGGGAGCTGCTGGATGGGCAGAGGGGCTTGGTGCCCTCCAATTTTGTGGATTTCATCCAGGACAATGAGTCACGGTTGGCTGGTACTCTGGGGAGTGAGCAGGACCAGAACTTTCTCAACCACTCTGGCATCAGCCTAGAGCATGACAGTATCCTTCATCTTCACTCCCCAACTCAAGTAGACTCTGGCATCACCGATAATGATGGGGGGACTCTGGACATGAGCATTGATGACATCGGAGAAGACATTGTGCCTTACCCTAGGAAAATCACCCTTATCAAACAGCTTGCCAAAAGTGTCATCGTGGGCTGGGATCCCCCTGCTGTCCCACCTGGCTGGGGCACTGTGAGCAGTTATAATGTGCTGGTAGACAAGGAGACACGCATGAGCCTAGCCCTGGGCAGGAGAACCAAGGCATTAATTGAGAAACTTAACACAGCCGCCTGCACCTACCGCATCTCTGTGCAGTGTGTCACAAGCCGGGGCAACTCAGATGAGCTACAGTGCACACTGCTGGTGGGCAAGGATGTAGTAGTGGCACCATCCCAGCTGCGTGTGGACAACATCACACAGATCTCTGCCCAGCTCTCATGGCTGCCTACCAACAGTAACTACAGCCATGTCATCTTCCTCAATGAGGAGGAACTGGACATAGTAAAGGCAGCCAGGTACAAGTATCAGTTCTTCAACCTCAGACCTAACATGGCTTACAAGGTGAAGGTCTTGGCCCAGCCCCATCAGATGCCCTGGCAGCTGCCCCTGGAGCAGAGGGAGAAGAAGGAGGCCTGTGTGGAGTTCTCTACACTGCCTGCAGGTGAGCCATATCCTCAGCGGGGGTGGGGGTGGGGGTGGGGTTCTATGAGGAAAGGATGCTAGAGCTCATCCTGCGCGGGTAGGAAAAGGCAGGAGGAGGTGACCATAGGAGTCTGTGTTATCCTTGAAAATCCTCAAATCCTCTGGGAAGTTCAGAGCATGGGTGCCTGTTCATGGATTTAGAGTTGGCTCTTGGATAGCATTTGGGGATGCACCCTCAACACTTGATCTGTCAGGGGCTGTCCTAGAATAGATGGGAGGGAATGAGGCCACATCTAGGCCTGGAAAGCCACACTCTATACCTCATACCTCCTCAAACAACCCTAGGGGAAGTCATGAGTTGAAGAGCTCACACCTCTTTCTAACGCTGTCCCTTCTTTCTTGGTTTTGGATATAAATAAACATTTACCAACGGACGGTGTGAAAGACAGTGAAGCAGTCCACCAAAGCTGCCGCCGGGCAGACTTGTCTCTCCTCTGCCTTCTTGGCTGTAACTGGGAGAGAGTGTGCCCTCTTTCACCCTCTCCAATATGCTTGGGGCCAGCAAACATCAGGCTTCTGGAGGTGCCCTGGTATAGAGAGGACCCAATGCTCCTATTTCAGTGGGTTCGCCTCTTCTGTGTCCCGGAGTGATATTGGTGGCTGCTGCATGCACCCTAATAAGTTTGTGAGGCAAAGGCAGCCCACACAAGTACAAGGCACACACATGCATAAGGATGTTTTTATGTCCAAAAGAAGAATAAAAGACTAGATGGTTCTCTGCCAACCCAGTGAGACTATCCTCAGGAAGAAGACTAGAACAAAACCAAAATATGCCATGAAAACTGTGGAATTGTTTACTGTTGGCCATTGGTCACGGGAACTCTGTAACTATGTGTTCTAGTTAACTTTAACCGTCGACATGACACAGCCTAGAGTCAAGTAGGAGGAGAGCCTCGAGGAGTTGTTTATCACAATGGCCTATGGGCATGCCTGTGGGAGATTGCCTTGGCTGTTAATTGATATGAAAGGGTCCAGTCCACTGTAGGAGGCACCATTCCCTAGGCAGATAGCCATAGACTGTGTAAGAAAGCTAGCTGAATATGAGCCAAAGAGCCAGTCAGTAATCAGTGGTCCTCCATGACTTTGGCAGCAAGTTCCTCCCATGACTTCCCTCAGAGATGGAATGTGACCTAGAAATATAAGCTGAATAAACCCTTTCCTCACCCAAGTTTTTTTTTTTTCTTTTGTCATTGTTTTATCACAACCATAGAAATGAAACTAGAACACTGTTCTTCATCGGGGTTTGATACTTCCTTCCTTTCCCCAGTGTGCCCACACTTTTATCAGGATTGAGTTAAATTTCCAATCTTGATAATTTCTTCATCTATCAATTCATGGTTATTCTTTATTCGGTTAATGTGGTGATTATGCTTCTTTTGAATATTCAACAACTTCATGCTTCTAGGGTTCAACTTGGTGTTTATGGGTGGATGAGCCCTGTTTTTAAATGATTTATTTTCAATTATGAGTACATGTGCGCATGCACTCAAGTGTGTGCACATGTGCACATATGTGTGTTAGTATAGGTATGTGAGCCGTGTGTGTGCAGTTACCCAAGGAAGCTAGAAGAGGGCATCAGATACCCAGAAGCTGGTATTATAAGTGTTTGAGAGCCAGCTGCTATGGTGCTGGGAACTGGACTTAGGTTGAAGAGCAGCAGATGCTCTTAACCCTGAGCCATCTCTCCAACTTCATTGGGGGGTTTTCCATCTATGTTCATGGAGGATATTCACGTACAGTTTTCTTATAATATCATTTGGTTTGAATACCAGGCCTCTGCTGGGGTCTTGTAGTGACCAGGGAACCTTGTCACCTGCAAGCACCTGTGGAGTTTTTTTGTGGCATCTACCATTTGATAGATGCAGTGGAAATCATGCAGACCAATAGTTTTCTTTGAAGAGATGTTGAAAGTTAGGTTTAAGGTAGTTAATAGACATGGTGTTTCAGCTCTTGTATCTTCTCATTTGTCAGTTTAGGTTAAGTACATCTTTTTCTTTAAGTTTATAATACAATGACATCACCTCTCCCTTCCCTTTCCTCCCCCAACACCATCCTATATATCTATCTATGTTCTTTTTCAAATTCATAACCTCTGTTTCCACTTATTGCTATTACATGTTACACACAGAGAGAGACACATATATTGGGGGGGCAGAAATAACACCCAGTCTTACCTTTTAGAGATTAGTTTTTATACATGTACACTCAAGGTACTATAAATTGCCTTAAATTGTGACATAATTCCTTTTGTTCTCTTGAATTTGCTTTAATATGCCCTGCTTTCACAACGCTGGAAGTGCCTGCTCTATACGGTCTATAGAATAACTACCATAGCTGAACTTCCGGTTTTGGATGAGTTTGTTAAGTAAATAGCCAGCAGATAGAGAGAAGCACACACAGGTAGAACGCATCATCAAACTGGACACTTAGGATAGGATATTCTACCAAGGTGACAGGAGTAGCCGGACTGAGGGAAGGAAGGAAGAACAAACAAGAGTAATTTCACCAAACCAAGGGCTTGCAAGCATCCAGCAGAAATCAACAGCAGAAGCAGCTGGCTGGAGTTTCGGGCTGAGTTTTCTCGCTGTGTTTGAGGTCCATGCCCCCCAGACCCCCTCTTCCCCTACATTTTATTATTGTAGGATAAACAGTAAAGTTTGTTGAAAATGATTTATCTTCTACCTGTTCACAAGGCACACAGTGCCTTTAATCCCTTAGCTATTTGCAGTTTTTCTCCCTCCCTGTTAATAGAGCCTGGCCAGCCTGATCCATAGGGGGAAAAGTAGATCTTGAGGCAAACATGCTCGGATCTGAGATAGTGTGTGGGACCACCCCACTTCCAGAACCAATTCATTAGCCCAGGCAGCTCGTGGTACTTCACAGCCCCCTTAATACATTGCTTTTCTCTTTTTTCAAATAATGATTTCTTTGAAGAAATTTTTTTAAATGTCCTTTCTTATTTCCTCATGCAATTGCCACTTACACTGTGTTCTGGTCTTCTTTTTTGCAGCCCAAGTTCCTGCCCGTTCTCATCTTCTTTTAACCCTGATGAGTCTCCTTTAGGATTCCTTATGCTTTTGTTTATAACTCACTATTTACCTTCAATGTTCAAATGTATCTTCTTACAGAATTGAGTTCTGGATGATTTGTTTCTCTGAGGGCGCCATTCCCCCTTTGGTTGACCTGTCATTGTCTCTATGATGAGTCAGCTGTCATTCCTACAGGGTACTTTGGCTTTTGAAGCTCATTCTGAACACACCTTCCTTAGACAAAGGTCACACATGAGCCACCAGGGGAAAATAGACTCTGATCCAGGCTGAGATTCTGAGACCTTTGTCACAATAGAGCAGTGTGGACCTGTGCCACCAGAAGGATCTAGCTTCTAACTTTGGGTAGCACAGTGGATTTTCTGAGCCTCAGTTTCTTCATTTACAAAATTATGTTGAAGACATCATTTATAATATCATTATGAAATAATGTGGATAAGTCCAAGGACTCTGGCAAGGGCCAAATATTACCAAACATGCAAAGTGCATAGGATGACTGACATGTGGACATTCCCCAGTGAGTGGTATTCTCTTCTGGGATGCCTTGGTCAGGTCTCTGATGTGTATGGCTTTCCTCTTGAGCTCATGAGTGCATTCTTTCCGAAATGAAGCCATCTGGACTCAGTCAAGAAGAGGTGGGAAATGCTACCCCAAGTCTGGAGTAAAAAATGCTATGTTCTGGTTTCTGAGGGCATATGGGCTATCCCACAGCCACTGGAATGGCTTGGAGACCTGGGAAGTATTTCCCTACTACCTGAATTAGTGGCTCTGGGCACTTTTTTTTCCCGAAGAACCAGTGAGCATGGTTCACATGATATCAGCCTCCAAGGAAGCCACCAGTCTAGACCCTTGAAATATCTGGGTCAGGCTGAACTCTTTTGACACCGAGTTTTCCCAGTTCCATAGAATGGTATGATGGGTGGTGTGAGGTCAAAGGTTGCTGTCTCTAGAGATTGGTGATGAACATGAAGATGGGGGACATGCAACAGCCAGGAGGAGAAGGAGTAAGAGAGGTGGGGAGAGGAGGTTTGCTAGAGGTATCTTTCCTCTGGAACCACCCAAGGGCTGCTTGGCTTCCAAGTCCTTTAGCAGAAGGAGCTCCATTCAATTGGAGCATAAAAGCAGGTTTCTCAGAGGCAAATGGGCCCCTTCCCTGGATGCAGGTGAATAGATGCCAGGTCTGGGAAGCAGCACAGCTTGCATGGGCATCCGGCTGAATGCTTGCCTTCATTACCTACAGACGCCTGTTAGCGTTCTCCCCTCCATTTTCCTTTCTTCTCTTCCTTGTCAACCATATGGACAGCTCCATTTTCAGGTGTGACAAAGCAAGGGAAGAAAGGCCCAAGGACCATGTTCTGACAGCATCTGTCCCTTTCTCTCCTTCCTTAGGGCCCCCGGCCCCACCACAAGATGTCACCATCCAAGCTGGAGCCACAGCCGCCACTGTTCAGGTCTCCTGGAAGCCCCCTGCACTGACACCCACTGGGCTGTCCAATGGAGCAAATGTCACAGGATACGGCGTGTATGCCAAAGGGCAGAGGGTGAGCATGGGGTGTGAGGCTCAACCCTGCAGGGGCAGGCTTAGGGAGGGAGGGGGGACAAATTCTCAAGGGAGAATTCGAGGATCTTCCAGCTTCAAGTCTCCACCAGCCTTCATGAGATCCCAGCTGGGCCTTCACTCTGGGGTCTGTCTGCCGCAAGTCTGAGAGTGAGGAAGTCCCATTCTGTTTTGGTTCCCACCTAGGTCCAGTGTCCTCTCTGCCTCCCTCACAACTGCCCTGCTCCACCTAATACTGAATTCACCAGCATCAGGCTCCCAGGCAGTTACTGGCTTGCCAGTTTTTAACAGACTGTGTGTTTGCAAGTTAAGACCCACGTAGGCAACCTTCCATTTGCATGTGACCAGGCCTGGACTCTGAGAAATAGCTGTGTCTCTGGTGCCCCTGAGTGGAGAATCCACCATCTAAGCCTGCCATCTCTGTGCCGGCACATGAAGGAGAAATTCTACCCCGAGGAAGTCTCTAGAAAGCTTCTGTTAATCTGTTCACTGGAGTTTTTATTGCTGTGAAGAGACACCATGACTACAGCAACTCTTATAAGTGAAAGCATTGAATTGGGCCTGGCTTCTATTCAGAGGTTTAGTCCATTATCCCATCTGGAGGCACAAAGGCAGATGTGGTGCTGGAGAAGTAGCTGAGAGGTCTACATTGGTATCCACGGGAAGCAGGAAGAGAGAGAGACACCGGGTCTGGCTTGAGCATCTGAAACCCCCAAACCCACCCTTAATCACTCGCTTCCTCTAACAAGGCCGCACCTCCTAATAGTGCCACTCGCTGGTGATCAAACATTCAAATATACGAGCCCATGGGGGGGGGCGTTCCTATTCCGACCACCACAACTGTTGCCACCCCATTCTCCCCTCTGGTGACAGATTGGGCTGATGGACTTGGGTATGAGGCCCCCAACCATTTCTCCCATGATTCACCTCTTGCAAGCTGTAGGCTGTCCCAGTGCAAGTTCCGTGATCTCTAAGGGCAGGTTTCATGCTAGCTAGCTCAGCGAGTGACTTGAGCCAGATGTTGGGCTCAAGATATTGGACTTTTTCTGCCAGACATCTGGCTTCAGGAGAGGCCACTGCTGGGCCAACAGGTGCCAACAGCCTGTGCAATGGCTTTCTCTGTGTGCAGGTGGCCGAGGTCATCGCCCCCACAGCAGACAGCACGGCAGTAGAGCTGGTCCGGCTTCGCAGCCTGGAGGCCAAGGCTGTGAGTGTGCGCACCCTGTCTGCACAGGGCGAGTCCATGGATTCTGCCCTGGCTGCCATCCCCCCTGACCTCCTGGTGCCCCCAGCCCCCCACCCGAGGACTGCTCCCCCACCAAAGCCATTAGCAAGTGACCTGGATACCAAAGACCAACACCTGGGTCCCCACGTCAAAGTAGATGAGGCCTGGGAGCAGACCCAGCCACCAGGCCCTGCACATGGCCATATGTTGGAACCACCTGACATGCATAGTGCTGGCCCGGGAAGAAGGTCACCCTCACCCAGCCGGATCCTCCCTCAGCCACAAGGAGCCCCTGTGTCCACCACCGTCGCCAAGGCCATGGCCCGTGAGGCTGCACAGAGGGTGGCTGAAAGCAGCAGGGTAAGTTGTGTCTTCCTAGAGGGGTTGGTCCAGGACTCTTGGGGTGAGGTATGACCTGTCCCCGTGCCTAGCAGGTAGAAACAGATCTACCAGAGAGCTCTCTAGACCTCAGCCTAGCACTCTTGTCCTGAACTGGGCAGGGCCCATTCTTTCACTGCAACGTTCCTGCCTGGGTATTTGTGTGTGTTGGGAAGGGGCTATTGTGACTGTGGAGACTGAGTGAGGTTAGGACATGCGCCCAATAAATCACCTATAGGGTGCCCCTCCCCACCAGGGGGAGTAGGACCCAGGACTGAACTGGCCCAGGACCTTCCCATCTCTCCCAGGTATCCACCTACCAGATGCACATATGTTTGGGGCAAGCTCAAGTGTCTCCAGCAAGGTTGTCAGCGGGACCTACTGGCAGGACCCTCTTAGTGTTGGTTGTTCTGTGGGTCTCACCAGGATGGTGACCCCTGGGAATGTCTGCCAAGGCTAGGGCACCCTCCTCCCAGGGTCAGGGTCAGGGTCAGGAGGGTGAGGATACATGGCCAAGGGTCAGTAATGGAGTTGTGGGCACCTGGGAGGATGTTTTTAACACATGTTCAGCCCTGTGTACACCCATGAGGACACAGAGCTACCCTGACTCCAGGGCCCCAGAACCTTTTAGGAAACCATCTGTGAAATCTGGTATTTCAGTGGCCACTGATACAATACATACTCATGAACTTGGGGACTCTGCTTGAAGGGTAATCTGAGGCTCAGTGAGGCTGGAGCCAGGTCTGAATTGGGGTCACTGGGTGTTGCTTATGGCTGAGGGGCAGAGGAGCCTAGTGCAGTCTCAGAGCAGATTCATGAGAGCCCAGAAGCTGCTAGACTGGGTCAGAGACCCTTCCCGGGCTCCTGCTTCAATGCAGTGGTCACTGTCCAAATGAAAGCCAGGCGAGGCAAGCAACAGAGGAAGAAGTTTCCCACTGAGGTGTAAGGTTCCCTCCAGTGATACTCAGAGTGATTGAGGCCTCATAGAGAGGGTAGCGGAACAGAGGAGCTGGCCCCAGGAGCCTGGACCTCATGGGACCCACTCTCCAGCAGCAGCCTAGAGTCACATGCTTAAGGAGTCACAGCTCAGCATATTTCATGCATCTGTCCCAAAGGCTCTGCAGGGCTCAGTGTGAGAGAGGCCTCCCCAGGGTACCTCTGGAGATCTCCTTGCCTCTCTCAGCACTTGGGGTAAGGATAACAACAATGTGTGTTTCTGGAGTCCCCTCCAGCCCTTCTCCTCATGGCCACTCATCTTTGTCCCTTTCTCTTTCCAAGTTAGAGAAAAGGAGCCTCTTCCTAGAGCGAAGTGGTGCCGGGCAATATGCCAACTCAGACGAGGAGGATGGCTACGCCTCCCCTGAGGTCAAGAGGAGAGGGACATCTGTGGATGACTTCCTGAAAGGGTCAGAGCTGGGCAAGCAGGTGAGAGCATGTACCCCGCATCAGCCTTTGGCTGGCGGCAGCTTTAGCTGGAGGCATGGGAGTTTGGAGTTATGAAGATAGTTCCCTAAGCTGCCTTGGGTGTGTGCCCATGCATAACTGTGTTTATGTATGCACATGTGTTTGTGTGTGCACTTGTGCCTATTTGATATGTGCATGTGTGTACAAGTGCATGTGCCTGTGTTATGAGTGTGTAAGGTGTGTGTATGTGTTCCTGTTTGTGGATGTCCCTCTGTGTGTGTGTCTGTGTGTCCCTTTGTACATGAATATGTATGTGTATGTGTGTTTCTGTATGGACATGTGGAAATGTGTTCCTGTGTGTTTACGTGGGTGCACGTGTGTGTGTTTTTATGTATGTCTGTATATGCTTGTATGTGTGTATGCATATTTACTTGTCTGTTTAATATGTATGTGCATGAGTATGCTTATTTATGTGCTCATATATGGTAACTGTGCACATGTGCTCATATGTAAGTACATGTGACTAAATGACTGAATTCCCATGTAGCATTGTGTACATGTTTATGTGCACTTGTGTGTGGAGATGCATCTGTGTGTGTCAACATATATATATATATATATATATATATATACATATATATATATATATATGCTTGTCAGTATATGTTTCTATGTATCACTCTATGAATATGTGCATATGTATTGTGAGGAGTGTGCATATAAATGTGTTCCTATGTGTGTTCTTATATGTGGACAAATATATGCACATGAGCATGTGTCTCTGTATGTGTGCATACATTGTACATTTGTTTGCATTACAATAGTTCTTTTAAAAGTCTCAGTGTCACCCCATGTGACTACTTGCCCTGTCATGTTCTCTTGTGTGACACTGTATAGATATGTACACATGGGTGTCCTGGCCCTCAGTCATCTGAATTGGCTATGTTGGCCCTCTGTTCAGCTGGTGAAGTACAAAAGTGACAGTTTGGAAGTTGAGCATCATTTAATGTGACTTGTCAATATTGCTTGCTCTGCCTTTTCCAGAGTCCAGGGCCATGCTCATGCCTGTCAGAGTGGGGTGGCCTGTGCTGTCCTCTCTCTGCTGCTTAGACAAAGTTGTATCAGGCTTTGTTTTCTTCACCAAGATGAGCTGTGCATACACTCTGTCCCACAATCCTTGTTACATGGGCTCTACCAGTTGGCAAATACAGGTCCAGGACTCAGGGAGGATAGCCTGGGAGCCTGTGGCATTTACAAGATGTCCCATCAGGAGCTGGAGATAGCTCAGTGGTTAAGGATAGCTCTTTCAGAAGACCGAGGTTTGATTCCCAGCATCTCCATGGTGGCTCACAACTGTCTGTAACTCCAGTTCCAGGGGAGCCAATGCCTTCTTCTCTCCTTCCATGGGCACTAGGCACACATGTAGAATACAGTCAAAACACTCAATACACATAAAAATAAAAATGAATAAATAAGAAAAAAGTACCATCTGTGTGCCTGTTTGACCATAGCCCCACTGTTGCCATGGAGACGATTACCACACCGAGAGCAGCCGGGGGTCAGACCTGTCGGACATCATGGAGGAGGATGAGGAGGAGCTGTGCACAGAGATGCAGCTGGAGGATGGGGGCCGGCGCCGGCCCAGTGGCACCTCTCACAACGCTCTCAAGGTGAGCACTGAGTTCGTGACAGGGTGCCCCAAATTTGAGGGCTGCTCCCTTCTGCCCCTTTGCTGGGATTGTTTTATGGATGCATTCAGGAGTTCCCTGCTGCTCCTGTCTGCTTCGCCAAGAAGTCTGGGTACTAGAATTTCAGGGATCCATTTGGAACCCCTGGACACAGCCAGCACAGTCCCACAGTAGTGGGAATAGAATTATAAACAACAAAGCTAGCCTGAGCCTTACATGCTCAAACAGCAGGTGCAGCTTCTGGGTTTGCACTCAACTGACACTGCGGGCCTGGGCTACACATTCTTGCATAAGAGGAGGAATCCATGCAGGCTAGAGCCACGCGGCTGAGGCCAGAGGAGGCCTAGGACAACACACTCCTGGGTCTATTACCCGAGCCCCATACCAGGAGAGAGTCCATTCCATCCACCCCTGGAGATCTGAGATGGAAGGCTGGCTACTTTGTGAGAAGGGGGTAGGGGATGGTGAAGCCTGCGGGGCTTATTTCTGCAGATCTGCAGTATCTTGCGCTGTGGTGGACAGAAGACAACACGCATCACAGCTGTCTGCCCAGGGCCTCTATGGGGACATATGGACGTTTCCCCTAGAGAGGTCCTTGCAGGGGCTTTTGGGACCTCCATGTGGCCCTGCATGGTATGGTTCACACCATTCCCTGTGCCCCTCTCCCAGTGGGTTCCACACAACTCTCTTCTGAAGACTCCTGGCCTGAGACTCCTACCTGCCCTAGGCTATGTTCTAGAGCAAGAGCCATGGGTGGATCAGGGCAAGGCATACACCTGTGCTTTCTACCTTCCAGACACTTCCCTGGACAGGGGAAGATATTAAAAGCTGCTTCCCAGGAACTGCTTAACAGAGGAAGGGCCAACAAGGGTGTTGTGAAGCGGGACGTGTAGCCCCATCCACCGCTCTTCCTCTTATAAACAGCCCAACAGTATCCTAGGGGAAGTAGGAGCAGGGTAGCCACAGGTGTGTGCCACTTGCCCACCGGGCTTCTTGTGGGTGTGGGTTTTGAGAGTCTCCGAAGAAACTGCTAGGGGGAGTTGGAAGCTGTGGCCATACTAGACCCACAGCCCCACATGGCAGTGACTGGCTAAGCCAAGCCAGGTTTCCTGGAGGGACCAGAGCACATGACCCTTCATCTCGGACTGTTCCAGCTCACCTGCCTACCCCGTGTTACCCTCTTTTTCAGCTATCATTCTTCACCCTTCACCTTCATAGAGCTCAACACACCTGAGCCAAACAGCCATGAATGTTGCGCTATAGAGGAGAAAGCTACATGAGTTATCAGATCCTGCGCCCACCCACCTGTGGACAGTCGCAGAGCATACAGTAGACTATGCTAGGAAACAACCCCCGCCCACTCCCCGTGGACTGAGGTGTCCACAGACCAGTGGGGGCAGCTGGCAAGGCTGGCAACCCTAGACCTCAGCAGGGGGTGAGAGCAGCTTTCCTAGAGCTAGCCACATCTCCCCAAAGGAGGGTATAGAGCAGTGATTGGCACCAAAATATGTCCTTCGGAACGAGACAGAAGCGGAGGCCCGGGCTGGCAGGCAATGGTGCATGTGGAGATGCAGGCTAAGGCTGGAATGCAAAAGGGTTTGTGTAGCAATCTCAGAGTGGCCAGCTCTGTGCCAGCTTCTGAGCCCAGATGGGCCAGACATGGTAAATAAATGTCAGGTGCAGAGGCAGAGGAGATGGTCCTTGGATCTTTGTAGGTACCAAGTAGGCACTGGGTCTGTTAAGGCAACATTCATTAGAACACAGGTTCCCTTTAGCTAAGGGAGAGGTGGATGCTCAGCTGGGGTGCTGGGAAGGCAACAGTCCACAGGACCAAGGGCACTGTGGGGCCACCTCCAGCTGCACTGGGCATTCAAGGGTAATTGTCCCTGGGCTACAGAGAATCAGTGACCATGACAGATAAATTCCCCTCATTACTCTGGGTAACTCATCATAGGGGCAGGCAAGGGCCTGGGAGCATTTTTTCCTCCCGTCTGGGCCACCCTTTCCTCCCTCTGGCTCACCCGCATGGCGTCTGCTCCTGACGTCCCGCTGGCTCCTCTGTGTGCTGTCCCTCACCTTCTGCTCTGCGCCCACCACGTGGCCCATTTGCTCCATCCCAGAGCCCCAGCAGGCATGCTGCAGGTCCCCCACAAGCAGAGGCTGCCTCACGCTGCCCTCCCCCCGCCTCCCTGCCAAGACTAATTCTGTGTGTGTTTTCTCTCCTTCCTTCACCGCCTCATGTCTGGTCATACACCGCTCTCTCACACATGCTGTCCCCAAGGAATGCCATAAGGCTAGGAGCTTGGAAGGCGCTTTCCTGGAGCAGCCCGAGTTCCCCCAACAGCCCCACCGCAGTAAGAGACTGTTCAGTATCCCTGAGGTAGCTGAGGAGGACACGGAGCATGGCGAGCCGCTGCTCAGGCAGGGCATGGGGTCCTCGAGAGCCAGGGCCTTGCTGGCCATGGAGCGTGGGCCAGCGAGGTCCTGTTGGGGACATCCAGTCCTACAGGGATCCTGGCTCCCTGCAGAGCACAGGGGCCTGGGCATCCATATGGAGGATCTCTTTCTGGAAGACAGAGGCTGTCGGTTCAGCCGCTCGGCCACCAGGAGCCCGGACAGTGGTTTGGACTGCGGCAGTGAGGAGGAAGAGTCTCGATTTAGTTTCAGGAGCACCTCGGCCAAGTGCAGTCCAGGCCCTGGTCACTGTCCATGTAGGAGAAGCCCGAGGCCCCTGCTGGCCCGGAGGCGGACGCTGACCCGACAGAGCAGCATCGAAGAGGACTTTGGGGAGCAGGTGGATCCCAGTGACGTCATCAGGAGCGATGACGCCCAGCTCAGCCCGGAGAGGCCCGTGCCCAGGAGGGATGGCTGGGACGAGGCCAGCGACCGCGAAGATTTTCGGGGTGTCTGGAGGAAAAGCCCAGCCATGCCCGACAGTAGGGCAGCTGAGCGGCTGGCACAGCCTCCTCCCCGTGTGGCAGACGGCCCTTTGGTGTGTCAAGTAACCACCCTCCCCACACGCTTGCCAAACCAATCCGTGCTCTCATCCTTTTGTTGGTTTTTGCCTTTGGTTCGGGTTTTGGAGTGCATCTGGGGACTCTCTGGGCCGCTCTCTTTGGTTCTCCCTGCATTTTTTGATTTCTTCAGCCCCATTGCTTCCCAATTGCTTGACCATCCCGAAGGTTTTCTTGCTTTGGAGTAACAATCTCCCCACAGAATCAGCGATGGTTACGGCTGCTTTACTTAAAGGACAACTGAATCTAAGTTTTAATTAAGGGTTAGCTGAACTGCTGAGTATCTAGAACTTGGGAAACATGCATCCCCCTTGCCCCCCTAAAATGATCCTTAGGGACAGACTCATGGAGGACTACTGGTATGATCAAAGGGTTTTTTGCCCTTATTGTTTCGGCTTTTTAAGTTTTTCTTTTTCCGTTTTGGCTTTCATCTATAACTTTTTAAAAATATGGAGAATAAGCAGGGAAGAAACTCATTTTTGTAAATTGTTCCCAAGGACTTCCTCATCCCCCAATCTTTTCCCTCCTCTGTGTCTCCTGCACAGCATGGGGTCACCCAAGGCTTCCTATATCTCTGTGATTGTATCCTTCCTACAACATCTGTCCCCCCCACAGCTGTGCTCAACTGTCATTGGGCACACATGTGGGCCATCAGCATGGCGGCAAGCCTCCTCCTGAGCCATGCACTCTGTGATGATGTGTCCACACCAGCGCCAGCCACTGCCTGCACCCCATGGTGCCTGCCCAGTCTCACCCATGCCTATAGGCTCAGATACCTTTGCTCCTGTGTCCTGGGAATGGCTGCCATTAGCCCGATTCCTAGTGATCTACTTCCCTTCAGTCAGTTCTGACCCCTAGTCCAAATGAGAGGTAGATATCTCTAGTCAGGGGGCCTGCTCAGGTCCAGGTTAAGCCCGGAGCAAGATTAAAGCTGATAGCACACAGGTACTGCCCTCTGAGTGTCCAGAATCCTCTGTACCCCTTCTGTCTATGATGGACTTTGGGAACTATGGCAGTGTATCTCTAATAGTGTGACACTTGGAGAGGGGGGGTGGGACAAGAAAACCAGGAAAAGACTTACCTGAAACAGAGCCTGAGCTGTAAAACAAACCATAGTCAATTTGCTTCAGAGGATTTGGCTTCAGGAGCAATAGCATCAACCGAAAGCTTCCTCTTATGACTCGTTTTTTACTACTAGGCCCCACTGTGGTGTGTCCGGAAGGGACCCTGATATAGAAAGCCAGTTCCTGGGCCCAGCTGGCTTCTCCCCCCGGTCACTCAGCTAACCTTTCAGTTAAAAGCTACGTTTAGTTGCCTTTAGTGCTTCTGCTTCCAATCCGGATTGATTTGGCTGTAACTCCTCTTTTCCTTCCAAGGCCGGCCGTACCTAACTATGGTGTTCTTTTGGGTCTAGATTTTAGGAAACCCTGCTTTGATGGGGCGAGCAGACCGGATGGATCATGTGAGCCGAAGGTATTCTCACAGTGGCGGAGGTCCTCAGAGGCACCGGCCGACGATGGCTCCATCCATTGGTTAGTGACCTGATCCGTATCATTCACTTCCTGCCCACCACCTACTTAAAAACAATCAATGATCACACATTAGGATTTTGGTCCCTGGGACAAATGCTTGAGAAAAACAACTGAAGGGAAAAAGGACAAGAGGACTCATAGTATCAGGGTTTAGTCCACCATGGCAGGGAGAGTGTGGGAGGAGAGTGGCTCACCTCATAACCGCCATCGTGTGGGAGGGCAAGGCGCAGAGAGAGTGGGGAGAGGAGGAGGAGAGAGAATGAAATACTGCATCTACTGGCTTTACCCTTTCCCTTCCTATACCATCAACCGCAGCCCCTTGGATGGCACCTCCCACATTCCCACACGGAGGACACAGTTCCTCCTGCTAAATCCTTTCTGCACCCACCCTCAAAGATACACTCAGAGAAGTGCCTTAGGAAATTCCTGAGGGGGGGGAGAGAGAGACAGAGACACGCCGAGTTGACTCTGTACCCCAGATATCACTATGAGCTCCAGGTGAGTGCATAAGCCACAATGGTGCAGGTCTTGGGAACACTTGGAAGCTGGAAGTGTCCTCAGCACATGTGCACCCTTCCCTATTCACCGCTGGCCCTTCCCCTTGTCCATCCCAATCACATTCTCCCCTCCCACTTCATGACAGCCGGGCTTCCTTTTCTTACAAACTGTTTGGGATTCAGCCAATGGTGCCCAAAGCTGTCAGTCATTTGGTTGTCACCAACTCAGGATAAGGGTGGCTGCAGATCGGGGGGGGGGGGTATATTGCTGCCACTGGCATGGAATCATGGGGACAGTAATTCTAAGAAGTGGTGTTCATGAGGCAACAAGTGTGGAGAGAAGGCATACAAACCAGGCTTTTGTGACACACACAAATGTGCATGCATACACACACACACACACACACACAGACACCACTACTGAGAAAATAAGTAGGAATGGCTGGAGGACAATACCAGGTTTGCCATTTTGGAGAGGAAGAAAACCTGCTCAGGTGACCCAAACTGGAAAGGATTTAAACCCCAGCAAGTGGGAAGGGCTGGAACATGGTTCTTTTCCCAACACCAAGAGGAAGCTAAACAGCAGTAGGAACCCCTTCTGGGCTTCTTCCTCCTGCAGCAGCAGGGAGGAGACATTTGCTTTTACAGTTCTATAGTCTTCACCAGGCGTCTGCTTTACCTTTAATGATGTCCTGGAATGTTGGACATCCTCAGCTGGTTGTGTATACAGCTGCGGATGAGGCTCAGCTGGGGGAATGTGAGGCCTCAGATTCCATCCCCATACCCACAGTGCCAAAACAACACCACCCCACCAAACCCCACATAACCACCACCAAAACCTGTTTTTAGTGATCTAAAAAACAGCAAGAGGTGTGTGGCCAAACAAAAACCACGGACCCCAACATAGAAGATCCGGCAGGGCTCTGTGCTCCGATCCTAGCCTGGCCAATCTACCTCAATTAGCAAAGTGAGCAGAAATGGGTTTGGGCTGTCCCATTCTAACCTGAGGCATGAGAGCCAGGGCTGGCCCACTCAAGGCCAAGACCTTGCTCTGCTAGCCAAGTTAGGGACAGCCTTTACTGTCTTGTCTGGAACCCTTGTCATTGAATCTTGTGCAAGGTGTGTCTGGGATTCGTAAAGTGAAGAACTCAGGAGGCTGCAGGCATGTCACTGCCCCAAAGGGTAAGGCTGTGTAACGAAGATCACACCCTTCATCCTAACACTTGAAAGAGCATGATCCTGTAAGGTTCCCTTGCCTTTTCTTAGTTCTTATAGCCACCCAAGAACCTGTGTGAAAAATGTAATTTAAACCCAGCACTTTGCATGGTGTGCCCATGTATGGGAGAACAAACCTAAGTGCCTGTGAACACCTCAGAAGAAAACATCCATGTGATAGGCCAGTCACTCACCAAGAACACAGGCAGGTGGGCCAAGGAGTCAGTGACTGATAACCAGGGGTCAGGGGTCAGAGAACATGTTCCTCTGGTCCTTAATTCTCTATGCATGTTAAAACAGTAGCAGTTAGTGTCCAGAGAGATGGCTCAGTGGTTAAGAGCAGTTGCTGCTCTTGCAGAAGACTGGGTTCATTTTCCAGCACCCATATGGCAACACACAACCTGCTGTAACTCCATTTCCAGGGCATCTGGCAACCTCTTCTGGTCTCTACATACACATAGTGCACATGCATACATATAAAAGGTAAATTTTGAAAAAAATTAGTATTTTAGAAACTTGCTGTATCCCAAAAGCATCAGTTTTTCTTTCCAAGAGATAATGAAGTCTTTATATCATATTTTCCTGGGTGTATTTTTAGCAGACTGTGGAGCCACAACTAAGTGAAGTATGGTGGCTATTAATACTCTGATTTCTAGAACTATTATTAAGTGAACCATGTTCTGCGTGATTTAGAAAGATGGGTTCCTTAGCTGCCCGTCTAATGGCCAGGTTCCTTAGTTGGCTGTTTCCAAAAACCTTTAGTTGAGCTCATTTTTTTTTTCTTCAGAAAATCTTATTTACCCATCTTATTACCCATCTAATCTTATTTACCCATCTAATGCAAGGCCTGTGGAGGGGTCACCTTTCTGAAAATGAATGGCCTCACTCGTTCAAGTGTTAATGAATCTGTCTTTCTAATCAACTTGAACTCTTCCTTCATTGTTTCCCATTCTCTGGATGGTTTGGGGGAATACAGCACAGCCTATGTCCATAGGAAATGTTGACAATTGAAAACTAGTTGGGCAAAGTCTAGTCCTTCAGATGAGAGTATCCATCCCTGCCAAGAAAACATTGCATGCTGTAGACAGCATCAGACATTTAAGTAAGCTGTTCCTGAGTGAAGGCACCTCTGTGTACCCCTGAGTACTTAATGGTCATGTCCAGGGGAAGCTGACCACAGGCCTCCATCCTCATTTGTGTGCATGTCTGTGCTTTGTGTACATGCAGTGCCTGTGGTGGCCAGAAGAAGGTGCCAGATGCCCCTGGAACAGGAGTTATAGGTTGTTTGGAACCATTGTGTGGGCGCTGGAAACTAAAGCCAGGTCCATTGCAAAAGCAGCCAGTGCTCTTAACCTCTGAGCCATCTCTCCAGCCCTTGAGGCATGTTTATAACACATAAATAAGAAAGGAACAGGGGCCAGGACAAGAAGGCAAAGTGCAAACGGCTTCAGAGAAATAAAGACAAGGGAGATGTGGGGGTTTCTCATTTAACCTCATTTTAAAATCTGGAGTATTTTGCTTCTTTTCCCCTTAGATTTTCTGACACGGGACAGGTGAACATTACATATATTTGGGGTCTGGAAAATGGTGACTTGGGATGACAGGGTGATATCCAAGCTTCATGGCCACTTCATAGAGAGAGCATGCATCATTAAATCCTTATTATTTGGTGGGCTAAAGAATCCACCTCTTTGGTGTTCTCTGTCCACTTATGTTATCCCCTGAGTCACAGGCTAGAGATAGTTGTCAGGCCAGGTTGATCTCCCAAACCTCTCTTCTCCTGCCAATTTCAGTTTCTGACCAACAGGATCAGGAGGCTACCTGGTCACAGATGCTATTGCAGCAGTTTTCAGCTTGTGGTTGTGACCTCAGGGCTGGGGGTGAATGACCCTTCCACAGGCTTGCATATCAGGTATCCTGCATATCAGGCCATTCCTCACAATAGAAAAATTATGTTATAAGTAGCGGTGACGTAATGTTATGGCAACATGAGGAACTGTATTAAAGGGTCGCAGCATTAGGAAGGGTGAGAACCACTGCTCTGTTGTCTCCCTCTCTTATGAAATGCATGTCCATATACATGTGTGTGCATGGGTACACAACTGGCCTCTGTATTTCAGGTTCCACATGCTTGATTTGACCAACTAGACATAGAAAGTATCTGAAGGGCACTTTTACCTGTCCCAAACATACATGGACTTTTATTTTTTGTCACAACTGTGGAACAGCCAAGCATTGACACTGTACTGGGAATGCCCTGGAGTCAATTAAAGTGTCTAAGATGGGTGGGGGGTAAGGGATGGCTAGAGAGGTGCCTCAATAGTTAAGAACATGTTTTGATCTTCCAGTGGACATTTGACTCCAGAAACTCACAACCACCTGTATCTCCAGCTCCTGGAGGACTGGACTCCTCCAGCCTCTGAAGCACCTGCACTCATATGCACATACCTACACATAATTAAAATAGATCCTTTTCTAAGAGTGCCCAACTGGGAAGTGCGCGGGTTGTTCTATCTGCCATCTTTTTAAGGGGCAGGATCATTGTGGAGTTTAGTGTCTGCATGGGTTGAGTCTGCAATGAGCATCTTGTGGGTATAGCTAGACAACCACACACCTCATGATATCAAAGTGACACACACTCACACACATTAGGACCCATAGAAAAATCACAATTAGATACTGAAAAAGCACGAGTTCTGGTGAGGGGAGATGGAGAGGTGTATCTGCAGCTGGTTAAACAGTCAGAGCTGGCAGAACAGCCCTGTCAGCCATGTTGAACTCTGAAATGTGAGCACATGGAGAATAAATTTATGGTTAGCCTTGTGTTCTGCTGCAGATCTGAAGATCCAGAAGGCATCTCACAAGGGTCACATCTGCATTCTCAGGGGATCAAGCACCTATTCTGGCACAGCCACTGACTGAGGCTTCTTGCCCCCATGGCTTTCGCTCATAGTATGGCTTGGTTTGGAGTGAGGTCTTGTTCTGAAGCAATCACCTGCTTCCACAGACCACCTCTGGGGGATTTCTGGTCCCATGCTGAGCCTAAACACACAGAGAGAAGCAATCAGAGATGCCCTTTCCACAGATACACCCATAGGTGCTACATGATCCCTGTTCTCTGTCCGCTGCATGCTCCAGATGAATACACCGGGAGAGACCGCCTTTCTCCAGACTTCTATGATGAATCGGAAACTGACCCTGGTGCTGAGGAGCTCCCGGCCCGCATCTTCGTGGCACTGTTTGACTATGACCCACTCACTATGTCCCCAAACCCTGATGCTGCAGAAGAAGAGCTTCCCTTCAAAGAAGGACAGATCATCAAGGTAGTGATGGCAGCGGTGTCATGGGGCAGGAGGCAGAGACTAGCAGCGGGGTTGGAGCGGTGCTCTTGCAAGCTTGGGAAGTAGTAGCCTTTTAGCCTCAATGGCTGTTGGAGGAGTAGGCTCAGGACTGTGAAAGCCTTGGATTGCCTCTACTCCACCCAGGAGAAGGGCCCCTCCCTTCACCTGTCTGCCTGATATGATTGTGCACATACCTATGTATACGTACCTGCATGCCTCAGTGTTTCTTCTGTACTAATGTGCAACCAGAGCCTAAATTACAGACCCTGAATTTGAAAAGCAGGTTTCCATGCCCTGCACCTAAACTTCAAGCATGCATATCAACAGGGGCTGGGCTAAGAGAAGGGTGCAAGGAGCCATGGTCACTGGGCCCGTGGACCTGTGACTGATGGAGGAGAAGGGCGGGCTTTGAAAAGGGTGTTCTAAGCAGTTTGGGCTTTTAGGTGACTCTGCTGTTGGTGGGGCTGATGTATAGCTGAACCAGCCTATCAAAACGCTGTGTTGTTCCCTATGGTTCCAGGTATATGGAGACAAAGACGCAGATGGTTTCTACCGAGGGGAGACCTGTGCCCGGCTCGGCCTCATTCCTTGTAACATGGTCTCCGAGATCCATGCAGATGATGAGGAGATGATGGATCAGCTGCTGAGACAAGGCTTCCTGCCCCTGAATACACCCGTGGAGAAAATAGGTGAGCACAGTCCCTCGGGCTCTGCTGCGCTTACACCTTGCACTAGTCCGGTGGGGGTGGGGGTGGGGTGGGGAAGCTGCAGCCCCCAGATGCACAGGCCACACAGTACCTCTGAGTACCCAATTCATGGGAGGATTTGCTAACCCTTCCTTCTTGTTGGGTAAAACTCACTCTGCAAGCCAGTACTGGAACACACACACACACACACACACACACACACACACACACACACACACACACACACGATGGGAGAAGTGCAGCTAAAAATCTGCTCCAGTTTGCTTTCTGTTGTGATAAAACATTACCACCCAAAATGACTTGGGGAGGACTTTACACTCTGCAGTCCAGCACTGAGGAACACTCACTATGGTGGGACCTGAGACAGACCATACTAGACTGCTGCTTACTGGCTTGCTCAGCCTGCTTTCTTTATAACCTAGTACCCATGGGGTTCATTGCCCACAGAAGGCTGTTCCCCACCCTTACGTTAATCGTCAATCAAAACAGATGCCCCCACAGACTTGCTCACAGGCCAGTCTGATAGAGGCAAATCCTCAGTTGAGGTTCCCTCCACCCAGTGTACAGCTACATCAATAAGAGGCCATAGGCCTCTCTGAATGACAGTAAAACTGGCCAGTGGCCCTTCTTCGTGGGACCAACCTTACTTTTATTATTTATTTATTTATTTTCCTTCCCTTTATTCAAGGGGCTTTGAATCTGTAATTAGCTCAAGTCTGGAAACTGGTTAATGGGCCTTGGTTTTCTCTTAGTATGATCCAATATAGCCTTCTTTTCCTTTGGTTTTTAGTTTTTCTGCCTATACAAATTGGCTTATCTATTTTGTCCCAATAAACATGACTAATTAGCCTGTCCCCAAAGTCAGGCTATTGTAGGCACTGTTTTGCCGATGCTGTCCATTAGGATAACTGTGTTCACCTTGCCTTTGGTTAGTGGATGCTGACACCTGGCCAAGTTACTCTGGGTGACTTAAAGACACCACCCCAAGCATATGTGATGACTCACCAAAACTGCACCCGTGGAGCTCACTTGCAATTATTCACGGCTTTAGAGGCTTGGGGAGGGGCCTTATAAGTCTTGTAAACTTCAGAATGTTCTGAGCCTTGTAAGTTTCCTTAGCTTTGTGAGTCTTCAGAGCCTCCATTTCCCTCCAGGAAGGAAGGTTTCAATTCAAGGGACAGCTGTGGCTTTTACCCAGAGCAATGGTCAGAACCCCGTGGTGCCTACTAGGCTTTCCTAAGTCATAGCCACCTGGTACCTCAGACCTCTTGAACTCATTTTGGTAGGAGGTCCCCTTCTTCATGGAGCCCCGACGGTATGGTGGACATAAGAAGAATGCCACTGTGAGGGTGAAAAATCTAGAAAAAATACTAAGTACTGGACGCTGAGACAGTTCTCCCAGGCTAGGGACATTAGCAGTTTACACACACTCTTTGGGCACTGAGTGGAGTCACCACTGATTTGGGCATCTTCACAGCTAGATCTTATGGTTTTGCAGAGAGAAGTAGAAGAAGTGGCCGGGGCCACTCTGTGCCTACACGAAGAATGGTGGCTCTCTACGACTATGACCCGAGGGAAAGCTCCCCTAACGTGGATGTTGAGGTACCAGCCTGGAGTTCTTTCATGGAACTACTACCAATGCCTTCCTGGCTGAGCTTGCCGTGGGCACCATCCTTAGGCCATGTATGTGCCTTTAGGTCTCACTCTTGTTTGAGCATTGTAGAAAGGGAGACTCAGTGACAAGCCACTCCAGAGGAGATGGCAGTCACATTGTCTGGCTCCCAGCCAGCCCCAGAACTCAAGTCCACGTTTTCAGTTATATCCATAGTCCAAGGATGCCAGTGGAAACTCCAGAAATCAATGATAACTGAGCAAATGGCCATTCTTAGCCATGCCCACAAACTGCCCCACCCCATTCTACCTAGCTGGGAGTCACCTGGCCCAGCATAGTGCTGAGAACACAGATATGTTTGGCCTATCCAGAGTATGGTACACTTGCTCCATTGTGTTTTAAGTTCTTACTCATCTCTTGGGGTGTCTAGTTTATAATCTGGGTCATGCAGATATATGCCAAAAATACACTTAGTCTATGTGCAACATGGCGGTCATTGGGTGTGACTCTCATGTGTTTGATGTCAAGTGATAGATGTAGTGGCAAATCCTTGACCTTGTGGCCCGGGTCTCCCAGCATAACTATTGGAAGAGTGGCCCATGACCCACACTTATTGGGCATGGCAATATGGAGTCCTTTTAGCAAGAAGCTGATGACAATCCCTCACATGCATACAGAAGATGAGAGGGGGCTGGTGTTCTCAGTGCCTGGGATAGCCCACACCCTGTGGCACACAGGCAGAACGTGATCAGAAATAAGGCTGAGGTCCTCGCCTCCAGCATTGCCGCCCCCAAATCAGATTGATCTGGATTCCTGTCCACAGCTTTGCTTATCAGCCACTGGCTGGGGGACCTTATCACTTCACTCTTATTGGAGACACAGCTACATCTGCAGTTATCCCCAGCTATCTTTGTTTCTCCCTTCTGCTGGGCTCTATGGTCTGAAGAAGGGTCTAAGGACAGTTTGACTCCTAGGCACAGGGGCTTGTGTTCACCACTCTCTGCTCTCCCCAGGCTGGGACCTGACACTTGACAGATGGGTGTTGAAGTGACTGTGGGGTTGGGCTATTTCCTTGGTGCTGAGAGGGTGTTTACCAATGGTCCTCACTCTCCAGGAATGTTCCCCAATCTTCTAGGTGTGTGGAGTTGCGACATGGCTATATTTCCTGTGCATTACCAGAAGGAGGCAGTGGCCTTTCATCTACCGTTTCTCTTGGGCTTACTTAGAACAGACCGCCCCCCACCCCAGTCCCTCAGCTTTGCACCCTATGTCTTGACTTAGTTGAAAGACAGGTTAATTCCCAAAGAGTGGGAAGAATCCAGGCTGCAGCATTTTCTTAGCTCTGTCGTCTGTTTTGCAGGCTGAACTTCCGTTCTGCACAGGAGACATTATTACTGTTTTTGGTGAAATTGATGAAGATGGATTTTATTACGTAAGTGTTTGGAACTTCAAGAAATGCTGTTCGTCTTGTGGGTCCCATCACCTGCTTTGCTGCTTCTTACATGAACACATGCACTGTGGTCTGCATATGTCATGTTCTGAAGCACTTGCCTGGCTTGCTGCCTCTCTGAGCTGAGTTCTCTTTTGTATATGGTATAGAAATCTGGGGGCCAAAGTGACACAGGCCTGCAATCCTGGTACTTAGGAGGATGAGGCAGGAGGATTTAAGTTCAAGGCAAGGCTGGACTATATAGTTAGATACCATTTGAAAAACAGAAGAGGCGTAAGGAGGAGGGGACAGAGAGAAAAGGAGGAAGGAGAGGGAGGAAAGGAGGGAGGGGGAAAAAGGAGAGGAGGAGGAGGAAGGGAAGGAAGCTAGCATTGTGGTCTCTTGATGTTCCCTACTAATTACAGTATTTTCTGTGTCTACAAACCATAGACAAAGCAAACACAAAATTGCCGCCGTCCAAACATTTACAAAACAATTTGATCTTCTAGGTTATTTATGGCCTGGGAGGTGGGGTTTCTTTCATGGAGAATAGGATGTAGAAACAAAACAGGCATGTGGAGCAGCCCCAGCTTCACCCACCTCCCCACACGTCCCCTCACCCATAGCCAAACCCTCAGGTAGACCAGCCCTGGCTTCCCAGCACCCCCTTCACCCACAGCCAGACACCAGAGTCACTCTTCCGGCTCACTTCCTGTGCCAGCCATGGTGCTTGCTTCGTGTTCTACAGCTATCTAATGAATAGGGGAGGCCATATGCAGGGTGGACGGAACTTCTTGCTTCTGCAACTGGGTGTCCTCTTCATGCCCCCCCACCTGTGGCCACTCCCCATTGCACCTCTGTGGCCTCCTGAACATACTTGGAAGTCTTGCTTTTCCATGCAGTGGTGGGTGGCCCTGAGGTCCCCCTCCACAGCCTCAGGCGTGCAAGGCTTTAGAGCTCTGATCCTGTCAGTCACCAAGATTTCACAGCAGGTTTGGGTGGGATAGCACACTGCTCTGCAGATTTTGGTGAACTTTCCACGCCCCCATGTGGATTTTTGTGGGATGGTCACACCTTCTTGCACAGAGTAGCAATGTCTTTCTGTGGGTCAGCGTCTACTCATTAGCTTTTCATTGTGGGAGCAGCCTTGTTCTATGGCTCTGTATGAGGTCACAGTTCATTGTCCTCGTGGACAGTGTGTAGAACTCATCACAGTGAGTTAGTTAATCTCACCTCCTTTCTGTGCTTATTCCTCACGTGCTAACTTGTGCCTATGTTTAGTTTGTTTTCTGAGTTAGAGCACTATAAAGATGATTTCTATAACCTGTCCTGTAGCTGGAGAGCTGGCTCAGAGGTTAATCATACTTGCTTTTCTTGCAGAGGACCCAAGTTTGGTTTCAAGCACCCTTGCCTAGTGGCTCACTACTGCCTATAACTCTAGCTCCCTCTGCTAGCTAATGTAGCATTCATTGTATACATGTTGCATATACTCACACAAATACATCCATATCATATATGTTAAATTCAGCTTGTATGGGGAATTGGCTTTGCTTTTTCAAACTGTATTTTTATAACTTATTTTATGATATATTCAGGGGAAAAATTTGGTAGTGAGCTTTGCCCCTTACAGCAAAACCTTATACCTCTGTTAGTGAAAGCATACGCCATATTTAGGTTAGGATCAGGGGAAGCCGTCATGTCTGTCTGACAGTGAACACACTTCCTGTCATCTAGCAAAAGGCTGAGAAAATTTTACTCCTTTAAAAAATGTGTCTTTAAGTCATCCTTAAGAATGTATGGATCTTAGTGTTATCCTCTACCCTTAAGCTAAATCCCCAGGCTTTAGTTTACTTTTGCATTTTGAAACACGGTCTCCCTATGCTTTTCAGGCTGGCCTCCTGAATGGTTCTGCCAGACTTGTGTCTCCAGGTCTGGCTGCAGATGACTGTGGCGGCACTGAATCCCACTTGGGGATGTGTGTATTCTCCATGAACTACTGTCTGGAGTGCACATCTGTTGTCATCAGCTGATTCTCTTGAGTGCTCCAAATGATGATTGTTAGTCTCTGAGGTTTATAGCTATCACCTTCACTTGCAATCTTACTGTCATAATAATGTTGAGTAACACTTCAATAGCAGATATGTCTGCACAGGGTAGATGTCCGTCTTCCTGATACAGAGTCCTGATTTAGTTTACTAAATTCTTATCATTAACCTATTGACTATGGAATATACATGTACATATAGAGATATATGTGTAGTCATATCTACATGCATGTATGCTGAATGGGCTTGTTTTCCTGATTGCTTAGTACACTCATCACTACTGCATGGGAAGGCTACTAATTTTCGTATTTCAATTTGCATTCTGCCACTCTTCTGGTAGTACTTATCAACTGTAGGGAGTTTCTTGTTGGAGTCCTGAGGTCTCTCACATATAGGATCATGACATCTGCCACAGAGACACTCTGACCTCTTCCTCTCCAAAACCTTTGTTTCTCTTGTCTCACTGCTCTAGCTAAGACTTTCAATACCATATGGGATGGAGAAACAGACCCCCTAGCCTTGTTCCTGGTTTTAGTAAAAAGACTTCCAAGTTTTTCCCATTTAATATAATGCTGGCTGTAGGTTATGTACAGGTTTTTATTTCAAATGTCTCCTGAACTTAACATGTAGGGTGTTATACCTTGTCAAAAGCTTTTTCTGCATCTATTGAGATGTCATTTCTCTCCTTGACAATTTCTACTTATTAATTTACATATCCCCACATCTCTGGAACAAACCCAACTTGGTCCTGGTCAATGATCTTTATTATTAACTGATTAACTATGGAATACATATGTGCATGTATGTATACATGTGTATATATATATATACATGCATATATATACTAAATGGGTTGTTTTCTGATTCCCGTCTTCATACACTCCTCATTAGCATATAAGAAGGCTCTTGAATTTGGCTTGCAAATATTTTGTCAAGAATTTTAGCATTTGTAATCATCAGAGAAATTGTGCTGCAATTTTCCTTTGCATTGCATATTTTCCTGCTTTTGGTTTCTCTGTCATACTAGTTTCGTTAAAAGACCTTGGCAATGATCCTTTTCTATTTTAAGGAATAGTTTGAGAAACGTAGGTCTTACTCTTTAAAAGTCTGGTAAGATTCACCAGCGAATCAACCTGTGCCTGAACTTGTTTTATGTTGGGAGATTTTAGTCACTGCTTCAGTCTCACTGACTGTTACAGATCTAATTAAATTGTTTATCTAATCCTGGTTTATTTTTATGGGTCATAATGTGTCTAGAAGTTCATTTCTTTTAGATTTTCCAGTTTATTGGAATATATGGTTTTTAAGGTAATAATGATTTTCTGAAGCTCATTGGTATCTGTCATAATGGCTCCCTTATCATCTCTAATTTGGATCTTTGCTTGCTTTCTAGTTGGCTTACGGTTTGTGAATCTTGCTCTGCTCTGTCTTCAAAAAATCAACTCTCTGGCCATTGATTCTTTGTATCTTTTTCCATTTCATTAATTGCTGCCCTGATCTACTTACTTCCTTCCATTTGCTGATTTGGCATGCTCCTTTTCTGGAGGTTTCAGGTATCTTGTTAAGGTATTTACTGAAGATCTGATTTCTTGATGTAGGCCTAAATGTAGCTATAAATTGTCTTGCTAGGACTTCCTTCGTTTTATCCCAGAGCTGCTGGCATGTTATGTTTTCATTTTAATTTGATTTTAGGGATGCTTTTATTTTCATTTTGATTCTTCGCACTCAACTGTATGTTGTTTAATCTTTGTGAGTTTGTGTATGCTCCAGGGTTTATCTTGCTCTTGATGTGTATAGTCTTATTCCACTGTGATCAGAAAGGATACAAGGACTTGCTTCAATTTTCCTGTATTTGGTGAGACATGCGTTGTGTAATATGTGATGTTTTAAACAAAGTTTCATGGGTTTCTGAGAATAATATGCATTTGACAATGGTTGGATGAAATGTTCTATAGGTGTCCGTTTGATCCATGGTGTCATTTAATTCAGATGTTTTTCTGTCAGAATGACCTGTCAGCCATGGTTACTGTGCTGGAGTTATTCAGTGACATCTTAACAGCACTTGCTTATGAACTTGGATGCTCCTGTGTTCAGGAATGTATAAATGGTGATGTCCCCTTGAAGGATTGCTTCCTTAATATGAAGCCACCTTCACTCTTACTAGTTTAGTTTCATATCTATTTTGTCAAATGTTAGAGCAGCAACAGCTGTATTGGTTTTTTCTGTTGTTGTTGTGTTTTTTTCTAGTTTCCATTTGCTTGGACCATGCTTTCCATCCTTCTGTCCTAAGGCATTGTTGACCTTTTTTGGTGAGTTGCTTTTTTTTTTTCTTTTTTTGAGGCAACACATAGATGCTTCATGTGTTGTTTCAATCAAATTTACCAGTCTGCCTCTTTTGATTGAATTCTCATGGTCTCAATTCCCCTAGAGTTATTATTGATCAGTGGGTATTTATTCCTGGCATTTTGTTGAGTTTTGCAGTGCTTGGTCTTTCTTTCCTTAGTTGGTTGGTTCTTCAAAGTCTCATGGTGGATTTGTTTCTCTCTTCAGTCTTAAGATCCCTTCAAATATTATCTGTAGGGCTGGCTTAGTGGTCACAAATTCCTTCAGTCTTTACTGGGGAAAGTTTCAACTCTAATCTTGACAAATCCACCTGCTGTGCATAGGAGTCTGGGTTGGCCAAGTTGCCTTTCAGAACCTGAAATGCATTTCCAGACCATTCCGATTCTAAGGCGTCAGTTGCCACAGCTGCAGTTACTCTGATGGGCCTGTGTTCTTTGTGACTTGGTGTTTCTCTTGAACATCCCTTTTCTGTTCTGTACATTTAGTGTTTTGAGTAAAACATGATTAAGGGAGGGTCTCTGGTCTGTCTTGTGGCCTGATGGGCCTCTCTTCCCTAACTCTGGAGAACTGTCAGTTTTGAAAATGTTTTCTGTACCTTTAGAACAAGATTTTCTTCTTCATGTGCCTGTCATCCAAAGATTTGGTCTCCTTGGAGTATTGCTTGTGGCTTAGAATTCTTACTTAGCATAGATTGTGTAGCTCAGTATTTTGTCATTGTCCTTGTTGGATTGTTCCATTTCTTCTACCTTGCCTTCAAGCTCAGATATTGAGGTGTTTTTGCTTTTTTGTTTTGTTTTTTTCTCCTTATTTCTGGTACTTTAGGCAAGATTTTCTTTAGCATTTCTCTTTGTTAAATCTTTTTATACTGTCTATCGCCTTCCTTAATTTCTCTAGATGTTTGGATTTTGAACATCCCTGTGATATATTGAGTTCTGTGCCTGGGATTTCATTTAACTCATTCTCACTAGCTACCACTGCAGCAGAATTAGTCATTTTTGGAGGGCTTCTGTGTCTCAATTTTTCATGTTTCTTGTGTCACCATGGTGGGACTTATGTATCTTATTTTTGTTGCTTGGTTCTTTCAAATTTGCTATTTCCTTTCAGTTGCTGTATTTTTAACTTTGCAAGATTGGTACAGTTGATTGTATAGTTCATAAAATAACTCTTCAGTCCAGGAGCTCTGAGTGCTTGGGTAGGCTCTGCATTATTCCCTGGGTGGCATGTTAACCAGAAAAAGCACCATGGCTGTTGTCACTATCCAGTTAACAGGAGCCCTTGGGATGTAAACAACTGTCAGAAGATAACCAAGGACAGTATGAAGTGTACATAGGCTCATTTAATGAGATTGGGAGTGGAAGGGCCATATGGTAATAAGGAAAATAAGTATTAAGTTGACTTAGAAAAAAATGAAATGGATAAAGTGGCAAGAGGGAGGAGCTAGCATATTGTTAGGGTTCACAGAAGTAAAAATGGGAGATGTAGGAAGGGGAGTGTGTGAGGTATGGCTGAGGAATATAGTAAAAATAGTGGTATAAAATAGACATCTTCAAATATGAGCAGTATACAAACAAAAGCAAAGCCATGTATGTGTATATGCAAGGTTGACATTATGTAACAGAAAATAACAGAACATTTACAGTTTGACTTGATGGCATAGTTATGCTGAGTTGAAAGGGGTAAGTAAGTTCTCAGATCCCTCTGGCTGTAGAAGTCTTCTGTTGCTGTGTGCAGGAGGGAGCCAGTCATCTCTGCTGGTTGAGGAATGGGAATTTGTAAGTCCTTTCGTGGTAGTTCTCTTGGACCCTTGGGCCCACTCAGGCCTCTTCTGTCCCTGCAGGTGCGGTGTATTCAGGGAGCAGCTTTTCCCTTGCACTTTGTGCTGCTATCTCCAGGGCAACTTGATTGGCAGGCAGGCAGGCTGCTGTAAAGAGAGCTTCCAGCTGAGCTCTGCTTCCAGCAGGGATCTCCCTGGCTTAACAAGTTCCTTGTCTCTTCCTGGAGCGTGCAGTGAGCACTAGCTCTTTTCTTTTGTCAGGTTTTAAGGGTAAGACTTCCAGCCTAGCAGCTTACTCAGAAATCCCTGAAGAATCACTATCATTTTTACAGCACCCACTTCATTTCAGCACACCACCATTGTGTAGTGTCAGAATGGGGACTTCCCTCTTAAGCTTGACTATGCTGTGGCATGCCTATGTTGGTTGCATTTGGCTTTTGGCTGGTGCATACAGTGTAGGCACAAACAGTGCATGTGGCTCCGAGAGCCCTCTCCAGGTTTTGAGGTGCTCACCCTGAGGTGGAGTTGTGCTCCACAGAGCAGCATTGCTTCATTCCCACCAGTGGGATGCGTGGGTCTGGTTTCTCGACTTCACCAAAGTTTGTTTCCTGGTTTGGGGAGCTCCTGGGAAGTTCTTGACCATACCCTGATCTTGAGGGTGCATTGGCAGGGGTAGGGAGTGCAGTAGGTACCATGTGGAGGTCAGAGACAACTTGGTAGAGTTGGTTCTTGCCTTCCACCCAGTGGGTCCAGAGATTTAACTCTGGTTGTCATGATGGCAGGCACCTTACCTGCTGACCCATCCTATAGTTTAATCTGTGTTTGCCGTGTGACCAGTGGTGTGGTGATCTTCCCAAATGGTTTTGGGCCATTTCTCTTCATTTGAAGAAATGCCCATTTTCAGATGTCTTTTGTTTGGCTGTGGTTCTTTACATATTCCTGTTAATAACCTCTAGCAGGAAGACCAATATAAGTACATATCCCTCCCTTGGGTCTATCATTATGCACAACATTGTGCACTGTAATGCTTGCGAGTTCTTTGTTTGAGGTAGGCAATTTGGGTCCTGGACCATCAATGAAGAAACACAATCCCATGTTGACAGGACCAATCAGGTTTTTTCTTTTGGAGCCAGGACTATGCTGTTTTCCCCAGGCTAGCCTCAAGCAGTCCTCCTGCTGCAGCCTCCCAAGTAGCTGTGATCCCAGGCAATGAGGTGCCATGCCAGCCAAGTTTGAACTTGGTTTGAACACTTGCAGGCAGGCTAGTGTTGGGAGCCCTGGGAATGGAGTGGTGTGACTGCTGGGGAACTGCACCTTAACCTGGTATGTGTACAGGTGTGTGAACACAGTTGCAAGGGTTTCTACCATCCTGTAGCAGAGATCTTACAGGGTGGACACTCATCTTTGCCTTGTTGGTTCATCTTTTACAGTAATGGCACACTCATATATAAGAAGGCAAACCAAGGGTTGGTGACATGAGTTGGTCTGACCTTCTTTGCCCTTTTGGATCCTTGGCTCCCACATTCTCCAAGGATTGGCATTGGTCAGGGTCACTGCTGTCTAAGTTGCTGAGATTGGCCTTGAACTCCCTCAGTATCCCAAACTGGCTCAATGGAATGCACATACCAGGCATGCACTTCACCGCTGAGTCATTCTCCAGCCCTAGAGGATGTTGGGTTTAAGAACCAAGAAAGGCTCTAAGCAGAGCTGAATCTTTTAAGATCTACTCCTCAGTCCTGAAACAAGAGCTCTACTTGATGGGCCACAACAAGACCTGTAGAAGACTGAAGTTCCCACTTCCCAGGAGGGCTATGAGTTCAAGGCTGGCCTGGGCAACTTAATGAGACCCTGTTTCTTTGTGAGAAGAGGGCTGGGGGGGCATGGCTCAGCTCTGCAGTAGAGCTCTTGCCTGAGATGTGCAAGGCCCTGGATTCATATACCTTATGTGTGGCTGGGGTTCTTCTCATGTAGCAGACTCTGGGGAGAGTGCATATCCACCATTCTTTCAAGTCCTGCCACTTTTAGCCAGAATCAGATGGTCACATCTGTCCTCTTAGGCAGAGTAGTATCCTTATGAGAGAATAGGCTCTGGACAAAGAAGTGTCTCCCCTGACCCTTCCCTTACCCTTTGTTTCCAGGGAGAGCTGAATGGGCAGAAAGGCCTCGTGCCTTCCAACTTCCTGGAAGAAGTGCCTGATGATGTGGAGGTTCACCTTTCTGATGCTCCGTCTCACTACTCCCAAGACCCACCCATGCGCTCCAAGGCCAAAAGGGTAAGCCAGCCCCCTTAGCCTGCCTGCCTCCTCCTTCCCCTCTCTGTGGTCTGGCGCAATCTTTGCATTGCTGCTTTCATGACTTGGGCCCCACCAGAATCTGCCCTGACTTCCGAGACCCCCCTCCCACATCCTCCTTTGGGCATTGTGTCCACAAATGCTTAGCTCCAACTAGTAAGTTGGTGTCCCACAGAAGGACCCTTTGGTTTCAGTCAGTCTGCCTGACTCCAAGGCCTTCCCTGGCCTCCATAATAGGCACACAGTTCAGCTGACAGAGAGTGAGGTTTGGAGACCCCAACGCCGTTGGCCGCCCCTTAGGGTTCTAGATGGCAGGACTTCTGTAGGGTAGCACGCCTGCCTGAGACTGCATTCTCTTGAGTGTCTCATCTTTAAGTTTCGCCATCACTGCGAGTTCTTATCTGTTGTATTTTACGTATATGTTTTTATCTCTTCGCTCATCTGCTTGGACATAGAAGAAGAGTGTTCATTTCACACCCTAATCAGGCATGTAGCCTTCACGTAAGTGAGCAACCGAAGACACCTTAGAGAGATACCGGCTTAAGCTACCCTAAGCGGACAGCACGGTAGTCTTAAGACTTCAATGTGGGCTTAAAGAAAGAGAAAGAGAGAAAAGAAATATGTCTCAAAAAACCCATTGGACCTAAAATATTATAGGCTATCTCACCTGGTCTCAGTTGCCAGGCAACTGGATTCATAGTGAAACGAGTCATCTTGAACAATCATTTCTAAATATGTCCACTGAGAATATGGGAAAGGCTAACCTTGGGAACATATTTCTTAAAAGCTGTTTGTTTACACAGAGTGCGCCAGCGTGTACTCACAAGGAAAGCTGCCTATTGCATTGTAAGCCACCCTCGGTAAAAGCACAACCCGATCCATGTGTTTACTGTAAGCAAGTTTGACTTAGACTAATAGCCAAGACAACACTTTGATCCCAGATCAAGCCCCAAGGGGCAGCCTTGGCTCTGGGCATGCCAAAGCTGGCCAGAACATCCCGCTGCTGCACCTTGGCCTTGGGAGCAGGTCTTCCCTCTCCTCAAAGCACAACTGTTCAGAGCGCATGGGCGCAAGAGAGGCACTGGCACACCAATGCAATACTGTCTCCTGACTTGGCAGCTCCCATGATTGCACTAGCTGGCCCCATGGTATCTTCAGGTGTGCTTTGGGGTGCGCCCTAGGTGTTCTCCATTAGAGTCAGACCTTGATTTTAAATCCAAGCAAGCTTGGGGCCCCCTTGCCTTGTATGGTCTATATGCCCGCCAAGGGCCCAGCTCTCACTTGCCAAGTTTTGCTCTGGGGAGTTAAGAGGACCAGAGGCCTGGCGTTTAGTGGCCATGCTCAGGTGTGTGCCTAGCTGCAGAATCAAGTAAAATTTGTACTCTGTCCCTGAATCAAATTCCACCCCTCTGAAACATGGTTGGCTTTTTTTTTTCCCACCTAAAAGTCTCTCAAAGCCCACCATGTGCTGGGGAAAACACACTGCTCTGTCTGGAAACCATCAGAGTGTTCAAGAAGGGCCTTTGAGCTTCCTTAGATTGTGATTAAGGTTCATTTCAGATTTTGTTTTTCTTTCAAACAGTGTGCCATCCCCAAAGTTTCTGTAGGACTCTACCTGACCCAAGGGCTCACTCCACCATGGCAGGGTCTTATCTACCCACCTAGTTCACGATCCATCCAAATTTCCATTGAGAGCTTTTGCTTTACGATGATTGATGGGTACTCGGCCACCTTGCCTATCCATCTGATTGACAATAACTTCCCCTGCTTTTAGTCTGAACTTTCAGAGTAAATTATGACCTGGCTTTCTTTGCCAAAGCGATGGCCACCCCGTCTCCCAAGACAAAGACAGCGAAAGCCCATGGAGGCCAGTCTCTCTCTCTCGAGGGGCCTTGGGAGCGGGCGTGTGCTTCTCATGGCATACTTTAAAAATTGAAAGAAGAAACGAACCACCCACCCTTTCCCCTGGCTGGCGGGAGATGGGGCAGTACGCGTTACCGAGTGAATTGTTGTTGGCGCTGACACACTCAATAAAACTGTCGCAATGTACCTACTAGGTTCCTCCCGAGGGTTCAGGGACAGCAAGGAGAGCTCCATCCCCCACAGCCCATCTCCATTCGGGGTCACCTACGTCATCTATGGGTTCTGGTAGTCCTGGGAGAGGCAGGGAAATGTCCTCGAAAAAGAAAAAAGGGCTGCTCTCCAGAGGCAAGAAACTGCTGAAAAGGCTGGGTGCGGTGAAGTGACCTGTGAGCCTCTGAGCCTCCGGACAATTCCAAATCCATGTCACTTGCTTTAATTCCAAACTAGGGCTTTCATGACTCCCAAAACCCAACCTTGACCCACCCCCCCACCCACCCCCAAGCAGTAGAGAGATGCACTCTTACACTACCATACACATAATACCATTGGAGAGATCAGAGAGGGGCTGCCTTGTGGTCCCCTCCTCCACTCCCAAGATTCTATTCAAGGTCCGGGGTGGGAGGTGGGAGGGGCAGCTGGCTGAGCAGCAGGGGAGGGTGGGCTCTCTGCAGCGCCCCCTACCTGCAGTTCCAGCCTGTACACACTTGACATCAGCCCTTACAGGAGTTCTGACCTCCCCCACTTCTCAAGATGCTTGCCTCATTATGCATTACTGTCATTCCCACTCTGGTCTTGAAATTCCTAGTTTAATTCGCCTTGATGTTCTGCCTTATAAACTGCACAGTGGTTTGTACTGTCGAATAAAAACACCGTGTATACTTCGCATGTGTTGTGCATTCCTGGGCTTCATCCTCACTCATACAGTGGCCTCACATCACAGTGGCCCCCGGGCCCTACATTTTCAGATGCCTGCCTCGGGTCTTCCAAAGCCAGCCAGCACCACACAGGACATGTTTACTTATCCCACCACACAAAAGAGCAGAGGAGAGGGAGTGGCTGGCAGCATGCATGCCCTCTAGCCAGCCAGAGAGCTGATAAGCTTTGCGTTCAGTGTCCCATCCTGTGGCTTTTAGATTTCTGTTACTTTCATTGTTTGCTCAAATGCCTTGCCCCGATACACCACCAACAGCACACATAGCAAACCACCACACGCTTCATTAGCCAGACCAGGCTGAGCCTAAATTGAAATCTCTCAGACACAGCCTCACACTCACCTTTATCGTTAGCCTTGAACAGCAGACCTCCCGGGATGCTGGCAGGTGTGTGACGGTCACTACTTTGTACTTCCTGTCCGCTGTAAACTGTTTTTACTCTTTATACACACTTTTCAGACTGCCTTTCTTTTGTAATTTCTGGAAGGTTTCTAAATGAATGACAAAGCTTTCCCCATTGTGTCTTCAAAAATGATATTGTACATTGTAATATAATTGTATGTGGTAGATGGATTAAAAGGCTGTTCCTCGGTGTGTGAAGTGCTGTGTGGATGTGTGCATGTGTACAGTTAGGGTGACATATTTTCTAGAAATAAACTTTGTTATTTTGTACAATGCCATGTATTCTGAATTTTTATTTTAAATACTCTTGACTACGGCAGGGGAACAGAATTCCCTTCTGCTCCATGCACACGCAGAACTCCATGGGCTTGGATTTTCTGGGACTAGTTAAAAGTATGACTTGGAACCTTGTTCTAGGAGTCATTTATGTGACACTGTCGGTGGCGATCTTCATGGGAAAACAGCAGTAATTAGTCTGTGTGTTACTAGAGACAGGCGCACAGAGACCACAGGAATCTGCGGATTCAAGACAAACTGCTTAGCAGCAGCCCCCCTCCCCCCAATACCTTTTCTAGAGATATTAATAAAGAACTGCTCTGACTCAACACAGACAAATGCAGCCTCACTTACCACACAGCTCTGTAGGGGTCTCCCTTGCAGGCTCCAGTCTGTTGGCCACATTTTTCCTGGGATTTGGTGAGATGGAAAGGCATGGTAGAGAAAAGGCTGTTCTCCTCAGTGTGGCCAGAAAGCACAGGGAACCGGGGGACAGGCACTCCCCACACAGCCATGTTCCCATGGAAACACTTTCCTCAGCCAGGCCCGGGCGCCTATGAACTGACTCGAAACTGTCACCCTGCCTATCCAGTCACTTCTCAAGAGCCCCTCAGATGGCAGCCAAGCCCTGAACACATGAGATAGTTTTAGGTTCGATCCTCAACAAGAATTGTTCAGAGAAGGAGAGAAAACCAGGCTGTTTATGGCAAGATGAAAATAATAGTTCAAATCCATCACTTTAAATCTGACTGTACAATTACATAATTATAGCCACTGCTGCAATGTTATTCATGTAGAATTATACTGTTACTTACTGCATTTAAACAAAATTCTCAAAATGGGGAAAGCCAGCCAAGATCACTAGGATAAATGTTCTCTGTACTGGTGACTTTCCTCGATGTTCTGGCCACAGCCTGGGGGCACATCACACCATGCTACAACCCAGTTGGGCTGCAGAGAGATGATGCTATTCCTCATCCTCAGCCATGAGATGGTTCTGTCCAGCTTAGTAAGGCGGGTCTCCTAGTTAAACTTCTAACACCATCACTGACAGGCCCACAAGCATTTCCATGCAGAGTCTAAAAACCTTCATGTTCACAAGGAAGGGGAACCATCATACTTACTCACCTTTATTACACTTACAACCCTCCCCCAAGAAAGAGACAAATCAAAGGTGATAATGAGCTAGACTGAACTTTCTCCCCCAAACTCTTGGCTTGAAAGTGACTAGAAGTTTCTCATGATTGAGGTTTCTCCCTGCCTAGAAGGAAGGGGCTCCCACCACTAACTCACTGGGCCAAAAGTCTAAAGCCAGTATCCTTTTAGGAGATGCCATACACAGAAATGCCTTTCCTACAGCTTTAAGCTTCATCAAAAATTATCAAAAGTGAGTTCGTATAAGACACAGACAAAAGACACACTCCCACGTCACTGGATGAAGGAACGCAAACTGTAATACAGGCCTTTTAGCTTGGACAAGGACAGAGGGTCCTGCATGGCCAAGCTGCTGACTCAACAAGATACATACCTGGCAAGTGTGATGCCCTCTACATGAGCTGTGTTTCCAGGACTCCAGCTTAGGAAAGAAGAGATGTGATCAAGGACAGATAAACGAGACACTTCCCATGACATGGTCAGAGTGTTCACTTTCCCACACACAGCCCTGGGCGAAGTAGCGTTCCTGTCCTGAGGGGTATGGGCCCATGGCAGCTCTGGAGACATCATCATCTGTCTCTCCTCCTGCTTCTTCCCTGATAGCTCAGGCCTACTTGGCCTCGTTGGCCATTCACAATAGCTGATGTCTGACTCCCCCATTCTACCTAGGAAATATGCAAATGATAAAGGGTAATGTAGCCCTCCCTTGCTCAGACACCTCCTCCTGCTGCTTGTCCCTCCAAGGCTCAGTAGCCACAATGATACACTTCATTTTTCCACCCTGCAAAGTAGGGCTTCAGCCTAGACACAAAGGGATGGTTTTTATGTTCCCAGCATTTCCTGGCTCCCTCAACTCCTCACTGGCTGGGTTCTTTGTGAAGGTGACTATCACCCCCTCCCTGGGTTCTGGGTCCCATTAATTTGGGATGTAAAACCTTATCTTACACCCTGCGTCTTGAAAGTACCTCCTTTTCAGACAGTGTGTTCTGCCTGCAACTTTTCAACCCAGGATGAACAACAAGCAGGCAACAGCTGCCTGCTGGGGAGGACAGGGGTCCAGTGCCTCCTGCTTGTCTGATTGTCTGATGAACCATGAATGTACCTGATCCTGGACCATAGTGATTAGTTTCTTGCTGTTGGGAGAGGATGGAGAAGGCTAAGTCCCAGAGGCACCTCTGCCTCTGTGCTCAGATCTGGGCCTCCCAGAGAGTTCTCCCGTGGACTGCTGAATTCATGTCAGATTTGGGGAACAAGTTCTATCTCAAGAGCTTGGCAGTCTCTGGTGACACTGTGTTCCCCTTGGTGGCAGTTTCCCCAGAAAGAAGGTACCATCCCTGGTCACAGATGCAGCAGCCGCTCTGCCTCTGGCCAGAGTGCTGTCTGTTTCTGTCAGTGTCTGACTCCATCATACCCATGACTTCCTGGTACAGCATGGGCTGTCTGAAGGAGTGACCAAGGAGCCACAGGCTAGAGGAGAGGGGCCGTCCCACCCCACCCGAATGTCTTTCCCCTCTATACCGTCCATGCAGGGCACAAGGGCTAGCAAGGAAAGGAAAGCTGTGTTGCAGACACCTGTGCATCAAGTAAGGTGAATCTAGTCGGCCCACAGAGTACAGAGAACAGACCAAGCCAGGACACAATGCTGTTGGTAACAAGAGCACTGCAGAGCCTTAGCTCGTGAAAAAAGAAAGGGTGGGGGGGTAGGGGTAGAGCAGTGCAGGGAATTACGGGCCACTCCCTAAGGAGTCCTTGCCTGGTATTATAGGCTAACTACTGCCTCTTCCCTAAACAGACATGATCCTTAACTGCATTCTAAATGCTTACCCATATCTCCACATAGCTCTCACCCTCCTCAGAGAAGCCTTTTTTTTTTTCATTTTGGGCAGACAGAAAACTACTCCGGAAAGCTACAAATGATCAAAATGCAGAGAACAAATGACCACGGAGTACCTGATCCCCAGTTACCATCTCCAACACAACCTATACGTAGACCCAAGGCACAAGAGAGCATCAGGGAAGAGGTGGGGTGGAAAGATTTCAAGAGCCAGAGGACCAGGATATCTGCTGTGTGAAGCTGTCCTTTGTATGTGATAGGGAAGCTCTGACCTAAATAAGACCTGCATGATGACACATGCCAGTATGAGTGGGGGGAAGCTCACAGGTACCCCCACCCCTAGATGAAGAGCTACAAGTAATCAATGGCTGCTCACAGAGGGAGAGCAGTTTTCTCCAGGAACAATCTGATCCTGATTATCCAATCCCAAGAGATCATCGTCCTTAAACACATACAGTCATAAAGCACCCTTTCCTACCAGATATTGAGAGCTAAGAAACAATAATATTCAAGCATGGTACTGATACACCAGGGCGCACTGCCTGGCCAGTGTTACCCCATCATGGGAGGTTGGTGTGAAGCTGAGGCAGAATCACAGGTCTGTGGAACTGGCATGCTGGTGGGATGTGCTGACAGAACAGTGTGAAGCTGCACCCCTGTGGGTTGCCTGTGATGTGTCATGAGATTCTAGTCACTACACCTTCCTGACCCCTGGGAGGCACATTATCTATGGGGTGCTACACCTAGTGCAGAGATGGCAGATGGTTGGCTGGGGCTGGAACTGCCCTGAAGCAATTTTGATGAGCCATCAGCAGGCTGGGAGAGCTTCAAGTCACCCATGCACATCTGTAGGTAACCCCAATACACCCTGGCTCACTGTGTACCTGTAAGCAACCCCAATACACACCCTGGCTCACCTGTGGACCCAGATGGAATGGCCTTTTGGGAATGAACAGGTGGTCTGTGTGTTGCCCCAGAACAAGACATGTAGCAATCCCTACTAAGACCATACAAAAAGTCAAGGACTTGCTTTTGTTTAGGGCATAGGTCTGGGCTAGCTTTAGACTCATGGCTATCTTCAATAGCCTCAGCTTCCTCAGGGCTGGCATTTCAGATGTAAGCCTCACATATGGTTAAAAGTAAAAAAGAACTGACTACAAAAATAAACAAACAAAGGAGCCCTGGAAACCAGGATTTGCCCAGGGAGTCTCATGGCTAGAGGGAAGGAGGAGGATAGGAAACAGGTGCCAGCCAGGTGGAAGCTTATGGCCTGGAAAGAGATTTCATGAAGCTCTGACAACCTGTCTGATTGTCTACTGTGCAGAAGAATGAGGCCCAGGCAATGGTGGCGGTGACCCCTGACCACACCCACTTAGCTATGCAAACGTCTTGCCCTCTATGAAATATAAACCTTCCTTCCGGATCCTGTGTCTGACAACCTGAGGATAGCTTCCAGTCACTGGCTCTCTTTCCCTTCCTGGGTGGCCACACTGAGTAATTCTTTAGTGGTTCTTCACTGTAACTTGCCCGATTCCTTGGTCTTTTGGGCATGTGACTGAGTCCAGCTTGTCAGGGCTGGTAAAGATCTATCCTCTAACCTTGACATCTATGGTAATGGAAGGGCAGGGTCTCCTGTTAACCTGAAGAGCCACTCTGGAAGGGGGGGACCCTGCAGCAGGGGCCCACCATGGAGCCAAGGCAGGGTGGCCCTCTCCGGGTGGGTGACTATGCTACCCTGGAAGTTTGGGTCCCCAGGGAAACCCCCAGGTTGGCTCTCCCACCCTACCGAAGAAGGGGTGTTCTCTTGGGGTGAGGTGACTACTTTGCACCTTATGTGAGGGGCCTACCGACACCATGCCAGACCCTATATAGCTATATACCTATATACCAGTCATCCCCTGCCCCATTTTCTCTGGACAAATCAGCTGTACCTGTCTAAGTCCTAATTCCTAGTATAACCCAGAGCCCAGGGCCTGTGTCATAGCCAGTAGCCAAGGGACAACAGCAG